AAAGGTTCCAGGGAAAAAACCCTGCTTAAGCTTCAATATGGTTTTGATGCCATAAAACTGTGTATTTGTAATAAAAATAATAATATCCAGGGACAATGGCAATATGAGTGATTATAAAAATAGAAAAATTATTTGTTTACTCTGTGATATTGAGTATTTAGGTAGGGATGTTTTTTTTATAGAGGGAAACAGGAAAGTGTGTCTGTGTTTGGTAAACTCTGACAGAATATCTACATCATTTCAAAGGCTTTATATTTGGTGGCTCTGGTTTCCTGTAGTGGGTGGCCTAGAAAATGCTTCTCTGGAAATCTGGATCGTTTCTTTTCCATAAGTATGTGAGAGAAGCAGGCATGGTGTTGTACCCTATAATCCAAGGAGCCAGGAGCCTGAGGTGGGAGGATGCAGAGTTTGAGGCCAGCTTGGGCTGCATCATGAGAACTTGTGTCAAAACAGAGCAGAACAAAAGAACAAAACAAAAATTTAAAAGCAAGCGGCAAAGCTGGTTAGAAGTTTGCATGGATTCAGCAAAGTCAGAAATCTTTCCAGCCATAAGTGAGCAAAGCCAAGAGCTTACATGAGAGAACAAGTTGACTAGGATGTGTCTCTGAGCACAAAAAGGGGTGTGGTGGGGGTGGTGACTAAGAGGAAATCGTTTGAATGGCGGAACAAGATGGACTGCTCAGGGACACAGATGTTTCAAGAGACACTCGCCACCTGGCACTTTCCTTAATAAGGCATTGCAGAGGAGGCTACAGTTAAGGAAGAGACTCCCAGCTGGTCAACTGACCCACTTCTAGCACCTCCAGTTTCCAGAGCTCACGAAACATTGCAGAAGAGGGGGGTGGAAAGAATGCAAGAGCTGCAGGATAGGAAGAGGGATGTGAGATGCTGTCGTCTTGCTATGACAAGGCACTGGCACTCATGGGCTCAGTGCAGCTATGGTTGCCTGCACAAGATCAAGCCACTGAACATTCCAGCATGGATGGAGGGAATATAGGCAGTTGATGACTTTTGACTGGCGTGTCATTTTTCTTTGAGATGTGGTCACTAGTAGACTGCCCATGCTCTGGGGAGTGTTTAAGGGCAGCACCAATTAGATCCAGCAGGTTTCTTTTTTAAAAGGATGTGTGAAGGTCCATCTGACAGAAGATCAATATGTTGTTCAACACTCATTAGAGAAGCTTCTTTGGCACAACTGTATGCAGAGAGTTTGGAGCACTCAGCCCAAACCGGGATATCCTCATCAAATCTCTTCCCTCAAAGCTACAGAAGAGCTGGCTGAAAGACTGTGAAAACCAGAGGTGGATGGCTCCAAAGAAACAATTTATCTAGGCACAATAGGGCTGATGCACATATTAACTCACACGGTCTGTGACAGCATGTTCAAGACCTGAGCAAGTTCAAGCCAGAAAAACACCCCAGCATGAGAAAGGGAAATGGACACAAAGTCCCGCCCCTAAACAAGAAGCTGTTTACAATTGATACCTGCTGGGACAATCAGTCCTTTAGAGAAAATTGATTTTTCTCTAATGAACACTGGGTGTGTCAGCCACACTCCAGAGAAGGCCACATGCTCAGAAGTAGTCAGTCATCATAAAATAGACTCCATGGTGTTACAGACATGTGCCCCTGGGCCTGGTGCTATATGTAATAACCAGCACTGGGGAGAGAGAGACAGAGGTTCCCTGGAATGTATTGGCCAGCCAGGCTAACTGGGTAGGTAAGCTCCAGGTTTAGTGAACACCTGGGTGTAGCTGGAGTTTTCTCCAGCCCAGCTCAGACCCGACCAAGTAAACACACAAAGACTTATATTACTTACAAACTGTATGGCTATGGCAGGCTTCCTGCTAAATAGATCTTACATCTTAAATTAACCCATTTCTATTAATCTATAAGTTGCCACGTGGCTTGTGCCTTACTGGTACTTTACATCTTACTTCTCTCTGTCTCTCTGTGTCTCTCTGTCTCTGTCTCTGTCTCTGTCTCTGTCTCTGTCTCTCTCTCTCTCTCTCTCTCTCTCTCTCTCTCTCTCTTTTTTTTGTTTGTTTTTTGTTTTTTTGTTTTGTAGCTTTGCGCCTTTCCTGGAACTCACTCTGTAGCCCAGGCTGGCCTCGAACTCACAGAGATCCACCTGCCTCTGCCTCTCGATTGCTGTGATTAAAGGCGTGCACCACCACCACCCGGTTCACATCCTACTTTTCATGGCAGCGGTGGCTGCCAGCATTTCCTGACTCAGTCTTCTACTCCCAGAATTCTCCTCTCTCCTTATCCTGCCTATACTATACTTCCTGCCAGGCTACTGGCCAATCAATGTTTTATTTATCACTCAATCAGAGCAACACATTCACAGCATACAGAAAGACATCCCCAGCACATGTGATGACAGAGAAAGACACCGGTGGTCACCTCAGGCATCTACAAGGGAGTATATGAGCGTACGTGCATGTGCGCACATGCACGAACACACACATTATACACAAACACACACAAAAACAACATAGAAAAGCTCTCAATTAGCCTTGATATTACCATTTAAAAAATTTTTAAACCTATGTGTTGAAAAAATTTTGTCATCTGTTTTTCACTCATTTCTATTCATACTTAATACAGACAGAACAAGTTGTTTATCTTTGCATGTCGAGGAATGTTGCTGAATAAGTTAATAGCAGTGTCACTAATCTATTTAATATCTTAAGAGAAAATAATATTCAGGTACTCTCAATTATTAGTGCCACTGATAAAAAATAAAGATTATTGCTTTAATGTCTATTTATTAATAAGAGGTTTTTTGAAATTTCTCTGGGAACATATTAAGTGCTGTTAAAGTATATTAAGGAGGCTGGGAAAATGGCTTAGGGGTTAAGAACACTGCCAGCTCTAGTTCCAATGGACCCAATGCCCTTTTCCGACCTCCATAGGTAGCCAACATGCATGTGATACACATACATATATGCAGACAAAACACTCATATACATCAAGTAAATCTTTATACAATATGTTAAGAACCTGAAAGTAATGACAATTTGACTATGCCATACCATAGGAATTCATACATTGTTCTAATTAAGCTATTTTTAAAAGCTGTTGCTTCATATTCTCATAAAATCTTACATTCAGTTTTCACAGATTGAGAGGTTTTTTTTTTTCCTTAAAGAAGCATAATTAAGTTGCATTAAAAGAATTTCCTAGCCTTGGGCAGATTTTTAATGTAAGTCTATTAGCACACTAAAGAGTAAGTGAGAAGCAGAGAGTGCCAGGTGCTCAGTATTCACTACCACTCAGTTCGCACAAATCTGTCAACATTTAATGCAAGTTATCTGTTAGGACTGTCCTTGTCACTGAACATGATTGTTAAATTGCCTCAGAAGAAAAAAAAACCCTTACAGCCAGCACAGTGCACATTACACACGTTACATAATATATACAAACATATATAAACACTGTCAGACATAAGCCAAATATTGCACTCTGAGAGAGTTAGGAGCCTTCTGCTGGAGCGTGTGATTCAAGACTGTGGGAGATATGTTAAATACAGGGCACAGTGTGTGAAGAGCTGAGTTACTAAACAGTATCCGCTAACTTTAGAAGACATTATTCTTTAGTAAACAGCTGTCTCTGAAGACAAAAATTTTCTCAATGAAGGGGAAAGAAAGAGGAAGTGAGACAAAACTTCCGGGAAGTATTTAAAATAATTTCATGTCACACAATGACTTTGTTATCTCTCCATAAAGAGCACAGTGGCTTATCACCCCTTATGTCCTTTCCTGTTGAACCTCCTGTTAATCCTCTTGCCTGTACATACTGAACATTTGGGGGGTGAAAAAGGAAGCCATTCAGAGTGGCAGTGACCCTGAGCCTGTGGCTGGGTCCTGGATGGCTCAGTCTGTGGTTCAGGAAGTCTGTCTTTGCACCAGAGACACTGGGCCCTTGTAGCTTCTAGGAGAATGTTCTTGAGAGAGGCTGTCTTCTGAGGACAACATTCGATACACAATGTTTTGTTTTTGTTTTCATGCAAATGTGACATTTTCAAGGGCTGATGTTACTTCATTTCTTTACTTCCCAGAAGGAATCTAAGCCAACTTTGGACCTTTATCTGGACGGGATCTGCCTTGGGACATTTGGACTCGTTGTTAATGAACAAGTAGTCCGCAAAGCAGCTGCTTCTGTTTCACAGAAGGTGGAAACAGCTAGAGAGGGAGAATCTTGGGCCCAGCCCAGAACCTGCTCTCAATAGACTCCCAGGCTCCTTCCAGAATCTACATTTTAATAAATCCTCAGGCTCTGCTCTGACCCAGCCTAGTTACAGACCCTTAGGTCATGCCCTATCATACTTTCTCTAGACCCCCCAGGCTTTACTTAGACCCTGCCTTCTAATAGACGTCCAAGAACCCTTTCTGATCCTGCTGCTAATAGACTCCTTAGACCCCACCCTGACTCTGCATTCTAATAGGCTCAAGGCCCCTCCCTGACCCTGTAGCGCCATAGACTCCCCAGGTCCTGCACTGGCCATCACATTTTTCTAGACCCCCAGGAGCATTTAAAGTCTGCACGGCACTGCTTTGGGCTTTTCTACAAGCTTTCACTACCCCGGAAATCCTGAACATTCCAATCTAGGGGTTCTCAGGGCATTGAGACAGCCTTTGGCAAATTCTCACATTTTACCACTTGCTATTAACAACAGCTGTGAGTGCCCATTTTGGCAAAGATCTGCATGTCTTTGGGCAATATACCAAGAAGACTTTCAAAAATGACATCTTATACTAACTCTCCTAAATGTGGCATACCTAATTATGATTTTGGCTTGGTTGTGCTATTGATCAAACAGTCTATAGAAGGTGATCATTGAATAAGGCTCAGTAGTCGACAGGTTGCTATGAAGAGTCAACACTTGCTCGGATTGAGAGTTTACACTAGGTTATGCCCTTTAAAATCAAGAGAAAATGTCTGCTCAGTGATCACGGAAGCAGCTTAAAGTGAGCCACTGGCTAGACCACACGTACCTTTATATCCTGTGGGTTGATCTCAGGATTTGTTTGACATCGTAGAGGTCCCAGAGTTTGAAGATGAAAAATGTAGAGGAGAAACTCATCCCGTGCAGAGAATGGCCAGCCCACTTCAAGAACGGTGTCACTGATGGTACTGGGTCCAATATTATGCAGCTGCAAGAATGTGACACATTAAGAAACATAGTCCAACTCTGTCTGTTATGTGTCTGTTTTGAAAAGTACATGTTATTGGCTTTGACTATGGCAGTAGGAAACAGAACATAGAATGCACCCAGGCAGGGGGAATTCTGAAATCACAGTGTGGAGATATTCAGGGAAGACTCTGCCAAGTTTTGAGCATGGGTTTTCCAAAGACTATGTAGCTGGAACAATTCATATTAGAAATGCTTGGGACCTGAAGTATTTTAAACCTCAGAATACTGCACATATACCATGTAAAATCTCAGGGATGGGACCCTACTGTAATCACAAGATTCACGGATGTTTCAGACATACCTTATTATACATAGCTTGATGGCAACCTTTTAGATATTTTCACTTATTTATTTGAAGTGTATTTGTGCATGTGCAGGTGCCTTCTGGAGGCTAGAGGCTGACATCAGCTGTCCTCCTGGGTTGCTCTCCACCTTATGTATTGAGACAGTGTCTCTTACTTGAACTCAGAGCTCACTGCTATGGGGCTGGTGTAGCTATTCAGCTGGCTCCAGGGGTTTCCTGTCTGGGCTTCCTACACACTTGAATGACAAGCAGCTTGCCACACCCGCATGGCAAGGGCTTTACCCACTGAGCCAACTGCCCAGCCCATTATAAATGTTTTTAACGTGCTTGTGTTTTTGACTATGACCTGTCTCATGAGGTCAGGTGTGGTATTTTCTGCTTGGAGCAGGAATCAAAACAATTGGACTTCATAGTACATTCCGTTGTTTTCAGATTAAAGAGGCTCCATCTGTACTCACTGTGTGAGATCACTGCCATGCTTACCTTGAATTTCTGTAAATGTAACGGCAGCACTAGAAATGCAGTTTTAATTATAGGCTTCCACAATGTAGTCATCCTTTCTTTACATTTGGAATTTGCCTCCTCCTGCCTGACTACTGATTTGTCAATTGCAACCACATGTGATGCACTCGCTTTCCCCTTCTGGGAAAATAGCCATCCGTCAAGTGCCGAAGCTGGCCTGAGAGCCCTACAATTCTCTGCCAGTGACTGTTCCAAAGCCGAGGTCCTGGTGTGTTGTCATTAGGCAACCCCAGAGAAAGGAAGGGCACATCTCATGAAGACGAACGTTTTAAACACACGAATTCTACTCAGAGGATGCAGACCACATCCCCCAAACACTGAGCACATTGGAAGGAATTATGAGTTTACACATTCTCTTCAAAATTTGTAGAGATCTTTGTCCCCCTCAGTTCTGATAATTATCACCAAAATCTATAAAGCAATGTGGTTTTTGTTTTTGCCTATTTTGATGGCCTGCTTAATTCACATCACTAAAGCAGTATGGCATCTACCAACATAGCATATTATGAGATGAGATTAGTGTGCAAGAAATATTTGGTGGGTTTTTTAGTGGGGGGGTGTCCTGGTGATTACTCTAAACTTTCATGATGTTTATGTTAATCCTAGATGCAGGGCTGCACATAAATGATTGAATCTGAACATTTTTCCAAACTTTGACGTTTTACCATTCTTAAGAGGAAGTTGGCTCACACAGTTTAATAAATGAGTCAACACCTTGCTCTTTTCCCTGTGAAGTTCTTGACCTGAGTTACGTTAGGACAGGCTGTCCTTTTATTATCAGAAGAGCTTAAGTGCAGGCCAGGGCTTCTGAACATACAGTTGAAGGACATTTTATGCCGGTGCTACTCAGGAGCTATTACTTCTCCATAGATGAAGAGCTCACGTTTGGGAACCTCTTCATTGTTAACCGGGGAGAAGCCCTTCATAGCCCTTGGTAATGGTTAGTGTCAATTGTCAGCTTGACAGAAGCTAGGATCACCTGAGACATGGGCCCATGGGCGATTATCTTAATCTTGCGTTGATGTGGGAAGGCTCCTTTTTAATTGTAGGTGCGACTATTCCCTCTAGGCTGTATAAATGAAGGAGGTGGGCTGAGCACTCCCATAAGCATGCATTTCTCTCTGACTCCTGAGTGCTGATGCAATGTGACTAGCAGGCCTCCTGTTCCTGCCCACTGTGTCCTCCCTGCCTGCTGCTACGTCTTTCCTGCCAAGATGGACTGTATTCCTCTGGAACTATAAGCTAAAACAGACCCTCTTCCCTTAGGTCACTGTTGTTAGTGTATTTTATAACAGCAATGGAAAAGTAACTAATACATTCTTGTCACTTGAGATGAAAGTCATATTCAGAAATAAAATGACTCCTAAAGACATTATGCTGTACCCATAGATCAGTGTCTCACTCATCCATCATCGGAGAAGCTTCTTCCTGCAGCAGATAGGAACTAATACAGAGACCCACACCTGGATAATATGCAGAGTGAGAGACCTTGGAACACTCAATCCTGAATGGGATGTTTCCCCTTATCAATGCCCCCCCCCCCCAGGATCAAGGAACACTGCAGAAGAGGAGGTAAAAAGATGATAAGAGCCAGAGGTGGTGGAGGACACCAAGGAAACAAGAGCTTCCAAACACAGCAGGATTGACACACACATGAACTCAGAGACTGTGGCAGCATGCACAATCTCTCCATGGGTCTTTACCAGGGGGGATCCCAGCACTGAGAGAGGAAGGAGACATAAGCTCCCATCCCTAACCCTGAACCTACCTCCAACTGATAATCACTTGCAAATGAAAAATGAGTTTTCTCCAATGGACTCTCATTGGGTAGACAAACCGCTCTTAAGGCCAGGTCCCGCGCCCAGCACTAGAAGGGTAACACATAATGGACTCAATGGCGTTTTGGGGTTCTTTGTCTCATAATGCTTTGTCAGGGCTTCCTCCCCCACCTTACAGGTCCTGTGCATATATATATGTATATGTTATGGTTTCCAGTTTCATGTTTTTATGGACTTTCTGCACGTGCAAATGATATGTCCCTGTGCCTATGTGTGTTTCTTGAGCTTTTTCTTTGGCTCTTATTTGTTCTGACTATTTGTTTTTATTTTATCTAATTTTATTTATTATTATTATTATTATTATTTTTAAATGCCTGTTTGTATCCTAATGAGAGAGAGAAAGAAAGGGTATGGATTTGAGTGTGTGGGGCAGTGGGGAGGATCTGGGAGGAGGGGAAACCATAATCAGAATATTCAAATCTGTATTCAAATCTATTTTCAATTAAAAAACAGAAAGTCATCTTCAGAACAATTGGTTCAGTGGGCTGAAGGGACAGAGAATGAAGGAAAAAGGGACCTCAACCAGAGAGCTGATTGGAGCTTCACTTTTCTGAAATCCCATCCTGGGTCCCCTAAAAATGAATTACTAGATGGCTGATGGCATTAACTTTAAAGAAAAACCTAAATAACTACTAAATTAAGCTTCTGTTATATGTTTTTTTTTCCATTAAATTTAAATGTTTTAGGCAACATGTCAATAAGTGATCCCACTATTAGCAGTTTAAGACTTTGTGTGGTAAAAGAACATCGGGCTCTTCCTGTGGGATGCTGTTGCCTTGGAAGATAGTTGACTAATCCATGGGGTATTCAGATCTCAGAATAAATGATTCATTTTCAATTTCAGTTACACAAATAAAAAAGTAAAATGATTCTATCATGTTATTGCCTCATAAGTTACATCTATTTTTCTCACAATAATGACTAATTCATTGAGTATTATAATAGTACTTTATAGGTAATAACATTTAGTTTATATATAGGTAAGTTCAAGGGTATCTGAAAATGTGAGAAGAAACACAATTAAAGGAGCGAGGTGTTTTTTTGATGCATAGGCTGTTCAAATATTGAATAGAGAACAAATAAAAATATTTTTAAAAGGTGACTTAATAAGATAAAATGTTTCATGCCAGGTAACAGATCTCACCACTGAGGACTGAGTGTCTGTCTACAGTTATTCAACAGGGTTAGTTCTTTGAGAAAATCAACAAGATAGACAAGCCCTTATCCAAACTAACCAAAAGGCAGAGAGAGAGCATTAACAAATTAACAGAATCAGAAATGAAAAGGGAGATATAACAACTGACAAAGAAGAAATCCAGAGAATCATCAGGTCATACTTCAAAATCCTGTACTCCACAAAATTGGAAAATCTAAAAGAAATGGACAATTTTCTGGATAGGTACCTCATACCAAAGTTAAATCAAGACCAGATAAACAATTTAAATAGACCAATAACTCCTAAGGAAATGGAAACAGTCATTAAAAGTCTCCCAACCAAAAAAAAAAAAAAAAAAAAAAAAGCCTAGGACCAGATGGTTTCAACGAAGAATTCTACCAGATTTTCAAAGAAGAGTTAATACCAATACTCTTCAAATTGTTCCACACAATAGAAACAGAAGGAACGTTACCAAACTCCTTTTATGAGGCTACAGTTACTCTGATTCCCAGCAGCCATTATAGCCATAATAGCATAAGTTATAAAATTTGGACCTTGGACTGGGACCTGAGGTTCTATGAAGTTCTTATTAGTAAAGAGTACATGAATAAAACCTCAAAAAAATTAATATAAGAAATAACTATCTTGGGCTGAAGAGATGGCTCAGCAGTTAAGAGCATTGGCTACTCTTCTAGTGGACCTAAGTTCCATTCTCAGCACCCACAAGGCAGTTCACAACCATCTGTAACTCCAGTTCCAGAGGATCAGATGCCACCTTCTAGCTTCCACAAGCACCAGGCACACATACTGCACACACACACACACACACACACACACACACACACACACACACACACACAGGCAAACCCAAACACATACATTAATTAAATAATAATTAAAAAATAAATAGCTACCTCATAAATATGCTCCACCAAAGGACCGACTTCCTCCTCTTTGTGGGGCTCCTCTTGTGGTTCCCAGTTGTGGATGGGCAGGACAATCTGCGGAGGGTGAGACACTCTGGAATATGGAATATTAGGTTGATTACTGATGAGGGCCTACTAGGGATGTCTTCCTTGCATATTGATATGTACTTACACTGGTTACAAAGGAAGCAAACTGCTTTCCAGTTATCTGAGGATATGTCTGATACATGGTAAGATATTGATAGTAAGTCTTGGGGAAATTACTGAGTAATAGTGAAGACTCAAGCATTGTACATTCTTATTTACTGCTCTATAGTACAGTCACTGTTTTACAGTCTTGTATATCTTAGACACTAGGGAGCAGAGGAGAGAGCATTCTTGAATGGACATGAACAGTTGAATACACACATGTACATTTATAAAGCCTGCTATCTATTCTTTATAAGTATGTGTATATGTCTCTAGGCATAGAGGTTATATAATCTCTGCCTTTACCCAGAGTAAGAAATGGTGTGTGTGTGTGTGTGTGTGTGTGTGTGTGTGTGTGTGTGTGTGTGTGTGTGTATAAATATATCTAGGCTCCTGTGAGATGTATTCAATATCTAGTTGGGAAGAAATACAGTTTCTGGTTAAAGATGTCTGCCTAGAACAGTGGTCACTCTGTATATATTCCTTCTTTGTAGATTCCTTTGCCTCCTGTTCCTGCAGGGAGCAGAGGCAGACTCAGGGCCAGCTAGGATCAAGAATGACCAAAGCCTAGAGTTGTCTTACAGACAGCTCATGGGACAAGAGAGGAAAAGCTAGGTGTTTCCATCATCTAAGCATGAAATTCACTTGCCATTTCCAGTGTACACACTGACAAACTTCATGTGTGTGTGTGGTGTGTGTTCATGTGTGCACATGTGTTCATATGTACTTCCCTCTCTTGGAGGAAGTGGAGGCCAGAGCTTGATGCTGAGATGTCCTCCTTGTTTACTTCTCCACCTTATGTTTGAGACAGGACAGCTCACTGAACTCTGCATTCGCTGGTTTGGCTACGTTGGGCTGGCCCAGCAGCAAGACCCTGGAATCCACCAATCTCTGCAGTTCTGTGTTGGGGTTGCAGGGGTTTGCACAACCACATGCAGCCTTTTCCACAGATTCGGAGGATCCAAACTCAGGTCCTTTCTTGCACAGCAAGCAATTTACCTTGAGTTACTTCCCAGCCCCCCAAGTAGAATGCTAAAAGACACCGCTTTCTATAATTTTATTGGGGAAAATACCTTTGAAAGAATCCTTCAATTTTTAGGTAAAATTAATTTCAACAGAGCAAATCCTTACATGAGTCTCAAATGCTGCTTTAGGAATATTCAGTAATTACTGCAGCCTCTAGCAACTCAAACATTTCTTCTCTTCTAGACTGTTCCATCGATTAAAGGCTCATTTCTCTTTATTGTTGAATAATATTCTATGGTGTGGTTTGTTTATCATTGACTGGAAACCATTTGGTTGTTTACAGTTTGGGACTATCACGAATAAATTTCTATAAACATTTATACAGAAGTTTCTGTGTAAACTTAAGTTTTCATTTTCTGGGAATAAATTTTTTTTTCTGGGATAAAGAATAATAGTTTTTTTTTTATAATAATTTCTGTTTTATTCCAAAAAGTTTTTTTTCTATTTTTTTATTTAATTTTTTTAATTTTATTTTGCAATACAATTCAGTTCTACATATCAGCCACGGATTCCCTTGTTCTCCCCCTTCCCTCCCCCCTCACCTTCCCCCCAGCCCACCCCCCATTCCCACCTCCTCCAGGGCAAAGCCTTCCCCTCGGACTGAGATCAACCTGGTAGACTCAGTCCAGGTAGGTCCAGTCCCCTCCTCCCAGGCCGAGCCAAATGACCCTGCATAGGCCCCAGGTTTCAAACAGCCGACTCATGCAATGAGCACAGGACCCGGTCCCACTGCCTGGATGCCTCCCAAACAGATCAAGCCAATCAACTGTCTCACCCATTCAGAGTGCTAGAGAGGCCCACAGAAATCCACAAAGATACCCCCACAACAGACTGCTGGCAATGGTCGAGATACAGCCTGAACTGACCTACTCTGGTGATGGGATGGCCAAACACCCTAATTGTTGTGCTAGAAACCTCATCCAACTACTGAGGGATCTGGATGCAGAGATCCATGGCTAGGCCCCGGGTGGATCTCTGGGAGTCCAATTAGTGAGAATGAGGAGGGTTTATATGAGCGAGAATTGTTGAGACCAAGGTTGGATAAAGCACAGGGACAAATAGCCAAACCAATAGAAACACATGCACTATGAACCAATGGCTGAGGGGTCACCAACTGTATCAGGCCCTCTGAAAACAACAATAGTTTTTATAAGTTGAAGTTTGTTTGCTGTCAGGAACTTAAAAACTAAGGATTGATAATATGATGTGAACTCTTTTTAAAAAATAATAGGACTTCCTGGGTGGTGGTGGTGCACGCCTTTAATCCCAGCACTTGGGAGACAGAGGCAGGCGGATCTCTGTGAGTTCGAGGCCAGCCTAGGCTACAGAGTGAGTCACAGAAAAGGCTCCAAAGCTACACAAAGAAACCCTGCCTCAAAAAAAAAAAAATAGAACTTATCTTCAATTTCTATTAATTCCAAATAGCAAAGAACATCATTTATTGTCTTGAACAATGTTGACCCTACCTGCTATGGACAATACCCTATATAGGCTTTGGTTATTCATGGTTTTTCTCTTTTTAAGTTTTTCTTTCTTTTAATATTTACTTATTTCCGTGTGTGTGTGTGTGTGTGTGTGTGTGTGTGTGTGTGTGTGTGTGTGTGTGTTTGCCATGGTATACCTGTGGAGGTCAGAAGACATCTTGTATGAGTCAGTACTTTCTTCTACTATTTTGGTTTTGATTCTGGGGATAACAGTTGGGTCCTTAGGCTCAGCAGCAAGTGCATTACTTGCTGTACCATCTTGTGGACCCTACTTCCTCTCTTGATACACTTTATCCCACTGGATTATTTTTAAAAGGCTGTGTGTTTTGGTAATTCTTCATGAACCCAATATATATAGTTGCTACTGAAGGCTAAGCTTACTTAAAGGAGATCTGCACTAAATCAATCCTTTGTCCTAATGAATTGCATGCCAATTGGCTCAAAGACAGTGTTGATGCTATGCAGTATTGAGTCAGACGGAATAGTTCTAAGTACGTTCACCCACTCAAAAAACTCTACTTAACATTATTTTTAAACTATAAAAACAACAACAAATAAAATTGGGCTTAACATAGTACATGATAAAGTAGCTTAGAATAAACACCTTTGACCAAAAATTAGATTTTTCCTAAAGGCTGAACATGGAAGATGTTCAACATAGCAACTATTTGTTCCTTGAAGAACTAAACATCGAAACCAAAGTTTTAAAAGCATAATCAGAGGACAGTTTTGCTATGTGGTATGGCCAAAAAGGACTTTTACACTGTCAGAGAATAAATTGTGGCCAATTGTTGGACATTAATGTAGCAATTAAAACAACTGCATCCACACGAGAAGTCCAGTTTTAATTAGTTGTTTGGATTGCTGCCAACAGAATAGAAATGTCCCTTTCAATGTAACTGATGGCAGAAATACATGTGAAAACATTAATTCCGTAAGATGAATGTGTGAGAATGAAGGCAATTGCAGCCCTTCAACTGCCTTGGGATCACTTACACATCTGAATATGAAAAAACTCCCCAATTTATTTACAAAACAATTTAAATTTAGAATTAGAAAACAGCTCATACATATGGTATTATTATTATTATTGGTTTTATGAGACAGGGTTTCTCTGTATAGCCCTGGCTGTCCTGGAACTTGCTCTGTAGATCAGGCTGGCCTCAGACTCAGAGATCTATCTGCCTCTGCCTCTCAAGTGCTGGGATTAAAGCATGCACCACTATGCCTGGCTTGGTTTCTATAACTTTTGGTTAACACAACTAAAGTAAACGACAGGGTATTTGGTGGTACAGATCTGTAATCCCAGATACTCACAGGCCTGTAATTCTAGCTACTCAAGGGAGTGAGGCAGCAGGACTGAAAGTTCAAAGGTTACAGGGTGAGTGAGTTCAAGTCCCACCTTGGAAACTTAGTGAATTCTGCCTCAAAAGAAATGGTAGAGCATTACTCAGCATGCCCAAGGCTCTAGGTTCAATCCTAGCACTGTGAAAAACCAAAACAAACACACCCAACCCAACCCAAATTAAAAAGAAAAGACAGGGCTCTGAGATAAGCATAGGGGATGAGACAAGGGTTCAATCGTGAACACTAGTGGCAATTTTGAAAACACAGAAGACAGGAAAAATTAATGTATATTTTCTTCTCTGAGCTTTTAAAACAGCGGCTCTTTTCTTTGAGAAAGAGACAAGGGAATAAAACTAAATCTCAACAAAAATAGAACAATACTAGCTCCTAACTCCACATTCATTGTACTTCAAGTACATGGTACTTGAGTCAGATGAATCAGAGAATCACAAAGCAAGTAAAAAAATATTTAGAACTGAGTTTCTGAGGAAACCCAGCATAGCAACAGTTTAGGATGTTGCTAAAGTCATTCTTTTTTCAAGCTTGTGTGTGCATCTGTGTGTGTGTGCATGCATGTGTGCATGAGTATGTATGTGTGTGTGTTGTGTGTGTGCATGTGGGTATGAGTATGTATGTGTGTTTGTGCATGTGTGTGAATGAGTGGCGTAGGCTTGTGTATGTGTTCCTGTGTGTGTATATGTATGTGGATCCCAGTGGTAACAGTAGGTGTCTTCGTCTATCATTCTCTCCAGCATGGTTTGTGATACGGGTCTCTGACTGAAACTGGAGCTCACTGATTGGGAGCTTTGGTCATAACATCTCAGTCAGCTTGGAGATGGAAATCACTTGGGTGAGCAGGCAATTAATCAATAATGCCTCTTTACAAAGGACTAATGAAACTCTGCCCCTGAGGATCATGGCTGGTGGTATTCCCTGCATATTGCTACACATCAGTACTGCGAAGTAAGAGTTCATACTCTCCAGACAAGGAAAAAGAGAAGCCAGTGTTTGGCACTTGTCCGGCTCCTTCCTTATATCCTTCTTCCTTTGATGACCTTAATCTGATTTGTCCCCAACAGTAACCTACTGCTGTGAGATTGAGAGCTTTGGATGGGATCTGTAAGCAGCTGGTAGAAATAATGGCGCTTGTTTTAATTTGCTTCCTATTGCTATGATAAAACATTCTGACCAAAAACAACTTTGGGAAGGAAGGGATCGATTTCAGCATATAGTTTCAGGTACTAGTCTATCACTGAGGGAAGTTAGGGCAGGAACTCAAGAAGAAACTGAAGCAGAAATCATGATGGAGTGCTGTCAGTGGCCAGCTCACAGGGGTCTGCTCAGCTGTATTTCTTATACAGCCCAGGCCACCTGTCTAGGGATGGTGTTGACATCTAGGAGGTCTAGGGAGGCTGGGCCCTCCCACATCAATCAATCAACCAGTCACAGACATGGCCACAAGCCAATTTGATTGTGGTATTTCTTCAGTAGAGGCTCCTCTCCCCAGGTGACAAGGTTGTGACAAGTTGACAATTAAAAACAAAACAACACAACAACAACAACAACAAAAAGTTAGAGCACTGTTCTTTTGGGGGATCCTTAACTTTGTAGTTGGCTAAATTTATGGGTATCCAGTTTGGAAAGTAAGAGGGAAAACTATTTTTGTTCACAGGCAACATGGATATGTAATAAAAAATTTTAGGAAATCAACAAAATGTTACTGCCACTTACAAGTTTGCCAAAACATGAGGATGTGTTCCTCCATTTCAAAACTTATCATGCCTGCTATATGCCAGAGCAAAACATCTGGGACTAGAACCTTACATTTGAACAAATGATTTGTTTAAAAAGTGCCAGTGTCGGGAAGGGGGTGAAACGATGGGCTTTTCAACAAAAAGGCCAAGAAGAAACAGATATTCATGAGCAAAATGCACCTCAGACCTAACCTCACACCAGTCACAAAGGCTGACTGAAAAGAAATCGAAAACCTAAACATAAAGCTTAACATTGGAGAAGGGAAAGGACACAGCTTGCTGTGACTCCAGAGAGACAACTATGACCCAGAGAGGACACAGAGCGCACAAACCAAAACAAAATCTGTTAATAGATTTTCATTCTTTAAACAACATTGCTAAGAAAACATAGAGAGCCACATACCTCACACGGGGAGAAATTATTTCAAGGCCAGATGTATGACAAGTATTTCCTACCCAGGACATGTGAGGGGGTTTTTACAGCTCAGCAACAAGACAAACAATTCCATAATGAGTGAACGGATGAAATAGTACAGTAAGTACTTCATGAGAAGAGGAGGGACCAGTGGCCAACACCACTGGAAGACATCTGCAGTATAACTAGTCATTAAGCACTGGACTCTAAAAACCACATTTATTATACCAGAATGTGTGTGTGTATGAGTGTATATCTCACATGCTGGCAGGGATGGGAAACATGGGACTCTCTTGCATTGCTCATGGGAATGCACAAAGGGCATGGCTCAGCCCTTCAGCCCTTCTGTAAGGCAATTGGGCAAGCTCTTAAAACATGCAGTTACCATACAACTCAGTAGCTCCATTTGTGAAAACAAATGTCCCAACGAAGACTTGTATGTGAATACTCATAGCAGCTTTATTCTTAATTGGTACAAAATGAAGCAACCTATATGGTCACCAAATGGGGAATGAATCATTCATTGGGTGGCCATACAATGGAATATTCTCTGCAATAACATGAAAGAGAGTACTGATATATATGCAAGAACATGGCTGTTTTTCAAATTCTTTATGCTAATCAGAAGCCATATTCATTCTGAATGAGTTCACTCTCTGACGTTCTGGAAACAGTGACAAAAAAAATAGATCAAGCTGCTAGGGCATGGTAGTGGGGGAAGGGCTGGCTACAAAGGATCCCAAAGGAATCCTTATTTTCCATGGTCTCCTGGTATTCTAACTCTACAAACCGGGCTCTCCAATGTGTGGATTTTACAACATATAATTTATATCTCAAATTTGACTTTAGAAACAAACCAGAAATCCAGTAAGCTATGAAAAGATGTGTACAGGATGACTGACTGACAGCCTAAGGTCCACATTTGTGGTCACAAGTGAATTCCTGTGGGGCAGCTAGTGGTTGAAAGCGCCTGAGTTTGATCCCACATACTAGGAGAGAACTGAGTCCCACCAACTCTAATCAGAACTCCAAAGCACTTCTTGCAAGATAAGTGTTTAAAAATCTCTGTTAGTTAAAAAAAATAGTCAATTATTTTTGTTTCATATTTAGTACAAACGTGAACATGAGTTTGCCTTGATGGGAAGAACGAAATTACAAAAGTGTAAAAAGTACCTCAGTTTCACTTAGGAATGAGGGAACTACAAGCTAGGTCTTCCACCACACACTACTTCTTACCCACCCTGAGAGCTAGTTGATTATATGGTGACTGGAAACTTTCACCCTTCTGGGAGTGGGCTTTGGTCAAAATAATTTTAAAATAATTTGGTGTCAGTCAGTAAAGTGACTAGCACACTCTATCTGACCTTGAAATCCTACTTCTTAACATACTTCTTGCTAAAATTCTTCCACACTACCAGAAGATGTGCATGGAAAGTTCTCAAAATTGGGGATGTGGAGAAGGAAGCTCCAAACATTCATAGAGTGGATGGGTTATGGCAGAATTGTACAACATAACACTCTTGTATCAATAAGCTGATGAATTACAAGCATAGGTGCTTAAAATGGCAAGTCTCACAAGCATTTAGGTGAACTAAAGAAACCTACAGTAGCATGTATTAATAAGGTCATAGAACAAGGTTCAAAAGACTGTCTCAAAGGAGGGTACCATTACCATTTGGGGGATGAGCTCTGAGACATATTGACTGTAGTTATACTTCAGCTTTCAGTGTTTTCTAGCTGTGTGGCCATCACCCCCTGACTTGTACATTAAGGTGATCAGCAAAGTGAAATGACTTTACATGCAGAGATCCACAGCTGTCAGCCTGGAGGAGTGAGCACCAGTTAAGACCTGTGGGAAAGGAAGGCCGGCAGAATCCTAGAGCCCGAGGATAACTGGGTTTAAAATACCAGTTGAGGCTTTTAGTATGTTATTGATCGGAAAAAAACAGAATTCCAGTAACAAAATCAATAAAACCTGCCTATGCATAAGAAAAGAACTTCTATAGTCCAATTTCCCTCTCTGCCAAGCATGGTTTCCCAGCTGGGAGTCATTCAAAGACTTCCCTTGACCTTCCTCCTCCTCTCTTCCATTATTGGCCCCTTCTTCAAAGAATGGGATGGATGGAAAGAACAGGATACAGAATGCAAAGCCATTGACCCTCACATCTAAGCTAGCAGTTTATTAATCTCATGATGAGATGAGGCAAGGTTAAATGGCCGCCATGTTAAAGTAATTACAGTAAGACTGAGGATTTTCTTCCAGACAATCATACATCTATCTATTTAGTTTCTCATTAGTGGTATTTCTAGTTTGGTTACTAAAGTTTTTGGTCTGGGTAATTAAGTGACCTCTTGTTTTGCTATCCTTAGACTTAATTATTATATAGGGTTTATTTTGCTGATGGTCTAATGCTGAGTAGGAAGGATGAAAGCCAGTCACATGAATCTTGCACTTAGTTTTGTCTATTACTTCATTTTAAGTCTTTACATACAAAAGCTAAACTTAATGGTTTACCACTTACCCTCTTATTTCCACTTGAGCAACAGCAGTGATGTTGATCTGCAGACTCACAAAATTGCTGTCTGGATTGTCCTTGTTGGAGCTAAAATACAGCGACAACACAGTTTCAGTATACTTTCTCACCATCATGAGAAACATTCTGTACATCACAAGAGCAAACCACATTTCCAACTTTATCACTTGGCAAAACAATGGTATTTATTCTACAAAATTATAACCATTTGTCCAGGGAGATGCTAAGAGCTTTGGGGATCCATAGAAACCAATCAGCTGTCCCTGGGGCGATGCCTCATTTGGAAGCACAGATGGGAAAAAAGCTAATACTTTTTAGTTAGAATAAAACAAAGGGGCACTGAACTACGTTTGTGTTCCTGCTTCTCCCTCAGACAAATTCTTTCACTTCCCTACACATCATGCTCAGTGCCATTCAGATAGGAAATGACAGCTCAGTCACCCCTGGATTTTCCATGCTAATAAAGTGGAGACCTGACATAAACGATACAGAACAGCGCATAACCGAGAAAGCTTTTGGGTTTGACTGTATAACTTGCCACACCATACATTGTTTTGTCAGCAATTTTATCTTCCTTATGGTTTATTTCTTAAGTTAACATATGTTAATATTAATATATAAAATAAGTGTTTACAGTCATTTCATATTCATAGGCTGCCCATGGCAAGGATCAAGGGGGATTAAAAGCCCAGTTACGGCATGGAGAGGCACAAGAAAGCTGTGTATTGTGTAAGCACGCAGTTCAGAGCACGTGGGTGCTTGGGAAATGCTTCAAGAGTCTTAAGAGGGGATGAGTTTCATAATTCCTCTTTGAATGTGGCAGAAAAATTTAAGTTTGCCATTTTTCCCTCAAGCAAAGCTAATTAATTATCAGTTAGGAAATTGAACTTTGTAAAAAGAATACATGGTAAGAAGTCAGGGCTTCTAAGAAAAATTAAATAGAACTCCCAAGAGGCTCAAGCAGTGTCTGGTCCTTGGATGCAGCTCCACCCACACCTCATGCCCCTCTGTGCTTTCATTGGAGTCAGAGATGGAACTATCACTTCAGGTGGTGGTTAGAGCCAAGTTTGTAAGAAGAGAAAGCCTGCCCTGTGGTCCTCATGAGTTTCGCTTAGACTCAGTGGGCAAGCTTTGCTCTCACTGTGAAGATGGCGATGGAGTAGATTTGCATTGGTGTTTTGATGCTTTCCCAGCCAGGGCTTGGGAAAAGAGTGGTTAAAATTCTGCTTCCAACCGGTGAAGACAGGCTTATTTCCAAAATGCCTTTGAGAAGTCCTGGCCGGTGGTACTTATTGATAAGGCAACTGAAACTGCAAACACTGGTAAAGACATGAACTGGCTGATGTCAGGCTCATTCCCTGAAGGGGACTTAACCCTGCTAGGCTTGTGAAGGAATCTACAGGGACTTCTACCTCAAAGTGAAAGGCTCATCTCCAACCACTAATTTCACTATTGCTACATCTGGGGGAAGTGCTCCCCCCCACCCCCGCCTTTTAGAAGAAAGCATACAAAAATGCAATTACTGAAAATTGTCTTTGAACTTGAGTTTAACTTGAGGCTGTGAGAGGATATTTTGATTTTTAATTACATTTATTTATTCATTTATATGTGTGTATGTGCCACAGCATGGGAATGGAGGTCAGAGAACAACTCTAGGAGTTGGTTCTCTTCTTTAAAACCAAGTGGGTCCTGGGAAACCAAACTTGGTCATCAGGCTTGGCAACAAGTATCGTTATCTGTTCAGCCATCTCCCCTGGCCATCTCCTTTGAGATTTAGCTAGAGCAATGGCTGACATTGCTCAGTCCCTGATTGTTTAATAAGCATTGCTCCTTACAGTATTCCAGGGTGGGACACTTGCTTTGTATTGTGGCGACGCTGACAAGGTTCCCAGTAAGGAAGGATCTGGCTTGATATATAACTCAGATGCTTCCTTGACATCTTTCCTGGAAAGAAACTTCCCTCCCTAATACCATAGCTACATGCAAACAAGCAATCCATCACTGCCAGGGACCCTGGGCTATTTATACCATCCCCCTAGCTCCATAGAAGGAACGACTATAACTTATGTCACATAAAAGGGACATTGTTTTTCTCTTTATTAGCTCAATGCCGTTTTCTATTGTCTCCTGTTTCATAATATTCCTTTTATATTTTCTGGCCTTTGAAATGCCAGTGAAGACATTACAAATGCCATTTAACCATTACTGAGAAAGCAACTTCAAGGACGCTCACAAAGATGTGTGTGTATGTGGAACTGTGTCCTGTGGTTCAGGGTGGAGAGCAAGTCCCTTGCACAGAGACAGGGCTTCTAGAGACCATTTCATGTCAATATTTGGTACCAGGAAATACTTTAAATGGATTAATGTACAAAGTCAACTTACCTTCTGACTTTAACATGTACAAAAGGGCACTCATTGTGGACCATGGTAATCAATACATGATTACAGAGTACAGACTTTGGAACATTGGATTAATTTATTTTTTGTTAATTTATTTAACTTGAATGCAATGCTACCTCTGTGAATCCTTATATCTTTGGAGTTAGCCAGCAAAGCACACAGATCAACACCTTCAAATACTTTAGTATTTGTTATGAAGGTGTCCTCAAATTTTTTTATTTCCCAAATATGATGGGAATTTGATCCCTGATGCATATCCTAGATTTTCTGCATTTTTATAATTTTCAAAAGAATGTTACAATTGCCTTGAGCAGAAATGGAATTTGATCATGACTTGTTTTTAGAAGAAGGTGAATGTTAAACATGTGGTCATTTCTGATTCTACCATACTCAACTCTTTATCAATGAATTCATTTTTATAAGAGCAGTATCTTTCCCCAAGTGAGAAATGGCTTTATGCCTATAACACAAGGCTTTATACCCATGAAGGACCAATGACATCAACGGTGATGGGCAGAAACAGAAGCCTCAGTTTCTGTCTAAGGTGATGTCAGTGCCTTCACTTTAAGGTTTAAAACTTGGTATTATGCACTCACAGGATTTTAAATATGAGAGAATTGGGGGCCATTCGAACCTTTGGGGAAGTATATGTTGTGGTGGGTGTGAAGAATTGGCTTAATGACCTTTAGATAAAATGAATTATTGCAGGAGAATCAATTCTGTTTTCATCTTATCACTAATGCAAGTAAAATTTTAAAGTCCTAAAATTTACCAGAAAAAGACTTACAATCAAGAAGGTGAGAAGCTAATTAAGCTAATTAAGGTAAGAAGGGAGGCTCTGGGCCATTTCGAAGACTTCCTATTCCTAGAAAGCTGGATCAAAGCTTTGGGTGGTAGCGAGGAGATGGAGTGGGTACCACATTTAGATTTAATCCATTACATTCTTATCCTAAGATTTTTCTCAAACCTTTAGTTGATTCGGCTATTAAGAAAGCATTCTACCACACAGAGTAATTATAAAATTTGTCATACTCTAATATCCCTTTGTCTTATAAGATATTAAGGTAAATTACATAGTATTTGACAAACAAGTAATAGACACCAACTTTACAGCCATTTGCATGACTACAGCAAGGGTTCCACATGCTAGGCAAAGTATAAACAATAAAAAGTATCCATGTGCCATCTATATCAGTGTTTTTAAAGCTTTTTAAATGCTTGACTGCAAAAAAAAAATAGTCCATTTGGCAGGGCATCTTGTTAGGTCTATATTTCTCAACGAGGAATGTTTCATGTACAGGACAATTATTCTGTATTATATATTAATTATATCATATCACATCCATTCCATCCCATTTCCTTTTCTTTCAATATGAGTCTAGAACCATTCAATTGATTCCATTACAATGGGCTGAAGTTTGAATCTGGGAAGCCCCGACTTGCCTGCTTCATTTCTCTGTAGGTCTTCCTGCTCATGAAATATTTCTGGCCACAAAGAAGTAAACAGAATAGACAATGAAAGGGCAAAGTTGTGGCCAGATCCATGGACAGGTCATCTACAAGACAGGTAGGCAGCTGTCTGCATAGCTCAGAGTTGCTAGAGAAGGGCCTGGTCCCTGCACAGTGGTAGGTCATGTTGACCTGTCACGGAACTGCCACTCACACCATCCAGAGTCTGAGTCCTTCTTGAACATTTAGGAGATGGCAAGATTTCACTTGCAAGATCTGTTTTTTCCACATGTTTTCCCCAGGAATTATCTGACTGCCTGCTGAGTACAGAGTAAGGCTAGGTTTAGTGCCTAACTCTGTGTAGTATAGTATAGTACTGTCCTGTACAGTATAGTACAAGAGTTCTGTGTCCAGAAGGAGGAAAAGTGGAGGTGAATCAACAGGGGTGGGGAGCTGCTCAAGATAAAATCTGACTATTTTACATCCTGGCCTTAATCTCCTTCAAAATGCAAAAGGAAAAAAAAAAGCTGAAATGATTGAGAATGGTAAAGAAGAATGGGGTGGTGAGATCTAGATTCTAATTCTAGGAGAACTTTTAATGTGCAGGTGCTTGGCAACAAGGCATATATGTCACCATGCATCTGTTCATTCGTGAGTGTTGTCAACAAAGTAAGCATTTCGAAGTCCAACCTTCTGACTTGGAGATCGAAGTTAATGCTTGTATTTGTTTTCTCGAGACGAGGAACAGCAAATCGGAGGCCCAGAGAAAACTAAAAGCAAAACACAATATACATGAGACACAAGGGTATTCACAGTAGGACCCTATACAGTGTGACAGTCTCCCCTTAGTTATCCCTCCACCCCTACTCCACCCACCATCACAGCCTTCTATCTCCTCCTCTGGATGTCTGGGAGATAAGAGGAAATTTGCAAGGAGACCACAGGGCCCAGAAGACTCAGTCCAACACACACTTGGGCTCTGTCTAATTAGCCTTGTTGCCCCTCTTCTGCCACCTCTCTGATGCAGAACTTCTAACAACACAAATATATAAGATTTAGAGAACTGCGGTGCTTCTGTGTGGTGGATGCGGGAGTAGTTGTAGAGATCGCAGCTGTGATGCCAATGCAGTAATGCAGGCGATACTTCTAATATAAAGATGCTCAACCAAGAATGAAGGTTGCAGAGTTCTGTGTGCCATGTATGTTAGCTGTGGTTTGGAAAGTCCACACAAGCAAAATTACTATATGTTTAAGAACAGTGCACGTGTGCTTTAAGGAAATATTCCAGGAGAATATTATAGTCAGTTTGGGGTCCCATGGTCCTTACCTGATGTGTTTGGGATATATGCATGCACATATATGTTTGTGTGTGTATGCACATATATGTGCAGGTACATGTGCATGTATGTGTGGAAGTCAGAGGTTGATACTGGACCTCTCTTTCTATAGCTCCCCACCTCATCACCTCATTTTTATTTCTGTTTTAGTTTGACATGATCTCTCACTGAACCTGGAGCCCCAGGGATCTTTCTGTGTCTGTCTCACCAGCACTTGGTTGCCAGCTTGCCCCAAAGCCCCTGGCTGGGGAGAGCACACGAGTCTTGATTATAAAGGATGTGCAACCCTTTATGCCCCAGTGAGGAACTACTTTACAATTTCAAACTTATCTATTTTCTGTTGGACCTCAGCATATGCTCTTCTCTCTTCTTTGAAAGATTTTTATTTTTACTTTATCTTCTTTTTCTACTTCAAGAGCTTCTGAAAACTGAGGCTTCGTAACTCAGGATAAGAGAGGTAAGGAACTGGCTGCTGCCATGGCCTAAGACAGGTAAGTTTTCCTTCCTTTTCCTCTGTCTCCATTATTATTCTTTTCTTACACAGCCTACAATGTTGCTAATATCAAGTGTCCTGTTACATAGTAATAATGTGCTTCCATATTATCTTATTAGGTGTTTACCAAATAGCAGGCTTATGGTGGTACATCAAGAAGGGTGTGATAAAAATAGTTGAAAGAACGGGAGTGTGTCCTTGTGTACAGGTGCAGCATATTGTGATGAAGGCTGCCTGAGGTTGGTCCTCACTACAGAACAATCCATATAAAGTGAAGACAGACTAAGACATGACAATTTCCTATTGGTAAGCATCCCAGGCAGGGGATGGAGAGAGGATGACTCAGTGGTAAAGAGCCCTTGCTGCTCATTGTTTTCTGGTCCCCGTGAGCAATTCCACACATGTGGCTATACTTTCTCACATATACCCATACACATAAATAAATAAAATAAAAATTTAAAATAGTCATTATATATTAACTAAAATATGCATGACAAAATATTAACTAAAATATTTTTGGCCTATCTGTCTTTCTTTTTTTTGGGAGAAATTTGCAAGTTATAAACTTTATCAGCATATGAAAACTATTTTATATCACCAACAACTACATGTAAACAACTTTTCTCTTTAAAAATCAGAAGTCAGACTTCCGATTACCGAGTTGACAAGTTTAAATTAAAACTGAAAGTCACTTGAAAACTTTTTGTTTTAAATATTGGGCCTGGGATAATTATTCCTGGTGATTTATTTATTTGAATCTTTTTAAATACCAAGACTACATTTCCATCTGCAATTTGCTCCACTCCATGGACAGAGAGTGTTTTTTAAAATACAAAATGAAGAAGCGAGTGAATCAACATGTTTTATACAAAAACAGAATGCAATAAAATTCGTTGTGTTTGAGGGCATTAAGGGGCAAGATAAGAAACCAATTAGCTTTTTTCTACTAGGGACCCAGAGATAAATGAATCTAAACAATTTACTTCCCTGCTTTCTCAAGATTCTTTGCTGGTAAAATGGATTGATAGCCTCTCACATAAACACTTCCATGGTTCAGACCACACTGCCGTTTCCACCCTTTTCTCGGTGTGGCACTGGTGGGCAGCATTTAGTCTGGTTTTAGTCACAGTTATTGGTACCTTTAGACTGTCTGCAGTCTAGATTTAACATTCTCAGTATGAAGGAGAATGAGGGACCCTATTTATAGACACTGACGTTGACACCCTCATGTCAAATTAGTTTCTTCTTGTCTTTTAGGTAAATATCTTCATATTACATCGAGTAGTTGGATTTATTTCCTTGCAAACTAGCAAAAACAATTGCTAGTTTCTAACTAAAAGGATTATAATGGGCAAATGTCCCATTCTGTCTGTCATATCTTCTTTTTAATATCCATCTGGTGTTCACTAGTTTTCATTCAAGTACTTTCTACAGTGTTAAAGACCAGATAGAACTTGGGCTTTGTGGTCAGCCTGGTTGGAATCTTGGTTCTGCCTTTCATCATCGGTGTGACTGAAGGCAGCATGTTTGACTTTTCCAGGCCAGAGTGTCCTTGTCTAGAAAATCGGTAAGATCCAGTAAGATAACATTAAAGGAGTTATTCTCTAGTGACAGCCTTAGAACTCAGAGGCCATTCAGTCCATGAGAACTAACAGTAATTTGTTACAGGGATTTGACTTGCACTAAAATAGTTAAATTAATGAATTAATTTTTTACACAAGAAGTAAATTTACATGATTCCAGCTAGCCACATTTTTTAAATACCCAAGACCAGTGCAATACAATAGTGTAAGGGGTAAAACTATTATTTGAATATACGCTGTCCTGGAGTGAAAATTGGGAAGAGGTATTATTTAAGAAGAAGTTGCAGAGATGCAGTTAAGTTTGTGAAACAATGAGATAAAGATTGATTTGCTAGAAGACTTATCAGCACCTTTGAAATATAATCTGAGCCCTCCCCAGGGATGTGCAGGACAGGTAGCAGTGAGCCCAGAGCCCCCTTTAAAGGATGGCCAAGGGATATCACTGTTTAGAGTCCACCCGGGAGTGTCCCCATGAAAACCTATGCAATCGTAAATTCTTACAAAGTTCTTTTCAAACAGAACATTTTGCTGATGACAGAAATATCTAATTTTAAATAGAGGATTATGTAAGTTCTCTTTACAGTGATTTAATTGTGTAACTTTTTCAGATTTCAGAATTTGTTGCCTGGCTTCAAAGTTGCCACTGTTATATTGATTATGAGGTGTTGTTGTTGAACAGTTAAACTGTAGTTGGATAAAATAACTTTCTTGCCTACATGTTATCCTGAGGCAAGGCCTATTCTCTCACAAGATCACTACTCGGCTTATCTTCCCTTCACTACGATGATCTTTGTATTATCTTTCAAATCTATTTATTTCAAATTGATTGATTGGTTTCTCTGTGTGTGTGTGTGTGTGTGTGTGTGTACACGCATGCACACACGCGTGTTTGTGCACACACACGTCACATGTGTTCGGGTGTTCATGGAGGACAGAAGATGGTGTTGGACCCACTGGAGCTACAGTTATAATTGGTTGTGAGCTACCCCATGGGGTGCTGGATAGGACCTCTAATCCTCTGGAAGAAAGCAGCTCTCTTACTGCTGGGCCTCCTCTCTACCCGTTTTCAAACACACACGCTGGTTTGTAAACATCATTTACAAACCAGAGCGTGACTATTTTTAACATGAAAATAGTATAATATTCATCTGGGTGGCATATTAGAAAAGAGTTTTCTTTGCTAAGGTTTTAAAATTATCCTCTACCTACTATGGACAGAGTGTCATACAGCACAGGTTGGCCTTGAACTCATATTAGCTTGGGGGTGATCTTGGATTTCTGCTCCTCTTTCCATCAACTCTTGAGTGCTGGCATTACAGGCACGTGACTGCATTCTGGTTGGTTTACACGGTACTGGGGATGGAACCCCAGGTCTTTGTGTGTGCTAGGCAGGCGTGATACCAGGTAAGCTACATTCTTAGCCCTCCAAAGCAGCTTATTTTCCAGCTTTTTAATTGAACGTAGTAGTTTTAAAATAAAATCGATATTAGAATTAAAAGAAAATAATCAAAGGCAAAAAAGTCTGAGGCGCACATGTTGCCACCGACTTGCTGTGACTATAAGATGTAATGTGTGACGTCTACAGAGAAAGTATGTGAAAGCATAGGTCCTTTTGTGGTTTTGACCTGCCATTATCACTCCACCTAGGTTAACATGCTAAATCCCTCTATGCCGGTAATTTCCTGGGCAATCTGTTTTAGCTGCTGTTTGCTGGGTGCTAATTGGGGAGTTTTCCACTAGTCCTCTATAAAATTCAATTAGTCAGAGATCAGTAAGGAATGCTGGTATCCTCTTACATTTGTTCCAGTCACCATCGGGTTCCCAAGGTCACACACCACCATCCTGGTCACGTTTTCCATCTTGTACTCGCAGCTCAGTGGCCTCAGTCCCTATAACAGGAAAAGAACACCATTGTGGAGTTCAGGGGCAGAATGAATTCCATCCTGTTGCATGCAATGTGGGAGGCCTCAGAGCTCCCCTTGATTTCAAACACCTGTGTGGGTCATGCACCAAGTTAATCCAATCGGGTACCTTTGACTCAAGGGCAAAAACCAGAGGAAAAAGTACAACTTAAACTTTAGGGGAAATTGTGTAAACATGTTTTGTTGAGGAATAAGAGGTTCCAACAGTATTTATGTGGACATTTTGTACTTTGACTAATCTTAATGTTAAACTTAGAACAGTAAGATGAAAAAGTGACCAAATATTAGCAAACAGATTCATTCCTTATATTACTACCACAAAAGTGAAACTATGGGGATGCACACAGTTGTTATGTCTCCATGGCCATCTGTAGGGGAATTGCCCGGAACCCAGTTTTCTACACATCACAGAGGAAGTTTAAGGTGACCCCTTTATTAGATCTTATATGTCAGATCCTTCAAATCTTTAAGATGTAATTTAAAAAGTTAAGTTTTTAGGTTAGCATACAAAGGGATGAGTTTTGTTATGGTGTTTATTTTTTTAAAAAATATTTTATTAGTGTGTGTGTGTGAGTGTGTGTGTGTGTGTGTGTGTGTGTGTGTGTGTGTGTGTAAGCACACATTTGTTTAGGTGACTTTGAAGGCCGGAAGAGGGTGTTGGATCCCTGGATTTGGAGTTATAGGCATGACACCATTGAATTCTCCCTCAGCCCTTATTGGGGAATTTTTATATCTATTTGCTATACATACATTGCTTCAATAGTTCCCACCTGTACTGGACCCTGTGTCCTCTGATTAATGTTTACGATTTGCGTTTAACTGGTTCTTCCTGTCTGTGCCCCTCTCTCTACACCCCATCTGGATTAGAATTTGTGAATACTCCAGCTTGAGGAGGTTCTTTTTCTCATCTGGGTAACTCTCAAGGTTGGGCAGTTGACAACAGGGCACAGAGAGCATTCTTTGCAGCCTTCTGTCCCTCCCAGTCCTACTGATGTCTTCCTAGGTGGGTGGAAATCCACCTTTACTCTTCATCCCAATTCTCTTTCCATCTTTCAAAACCTGATGGTGTATTTGACAACTTCTTGGGTTTTTTTGTTTGTTTGTTTTTTGTTTTTGTTTTTTGGTTTTTGGAGACAGGGTTTCTCTGCGTAGCTTTTGAGCCTGTCCTGGAACTCACTGTGTAGCCCAGGCTGGCCTCGAACTCACAGAGATCTGCCTGCCTCTGCCTCCCGAGTGCTGGGATTAAAGGCGTGCGCCGCCGCCGCCGCCGCCGCCGCCGCCGCCGCCGCCGCCGCCGCCACCGCCGCCGCCGCCGCCACCGCCACCGCCACCGCCGCCTGACAACTTCTTACATAACTCCATCACTTCACTCTAAGTCATTCTATGCCATCAAATTGTGGCCTGCCACCTTCATCCCCTAAGATGATAAATGGATGGCTTTCATGATGGAGCACCCTTTGGGGAACTTCTAGGAAGTCAGCAGATGAAGGTTTTGACTGTGATGATCACTCACTCATCTGCTAGTGCTGTTGGGATTTTATATAAGGAAACAATATGAGGTTTTCAAGGAAAAGCTTTAGAAATATTTCCCTATTCCTTTCAACTTTATACACCATCAGGTTTTGAAAGATGGAGAGAGAATTGGGATGGAGAGTGAAGGTGGATTTTCACCAACCCTCACCAAAACAAAGGAAAACAAAACAAAACAAAACAGCTCTAGTCTCTACATGAGGAACTCTGTAATCGATGCATTTGAGACTGTAAGCATTAGGAAGGCAGGGCTTCTGGACACTGAACCCATCTCAATGTCTAGAGCAGTGTTTGCACAAAGCACAGAGCAGGGCCGAAGCAGCTCACACATCGTCTCCTAAGAAGTGACTATAAGGAGGTGCCCACTCTGGGCATCACCCAGGTAGACATGCACAGTCTGATTAGTGGGTAAGAGCGGAGTGGCTGATACTTGGCTGAACTCGATTTAACACAAGTTCTTTACAAATAGTCGACAGAGGTCATGGGGGTAGCTGTCCCAAAGGAGCTAAAAGGCATCTTTCCAAAGCTGGTAATTTCTTTACTCAAAGGTAGGTTTATTGGGTATTCCTCTTTAGAACTCGTAACTAAGAGTAATCAAACAGAGATGTTTTACACTGAGATTATTAATGATGAAAGCAAAACAAAATTGAAAAGCTTTTGGAAGTATCCATGTCCCCCCTGGCTGTAACACAGAGATTCAGTTTCTTTAGTTAATATGTTTGACTTGCTTGAAGGTGGAAGGTCACATGCACTTTTTAAAATTTTATTTTTAAATTAAAAATATTTATTTTATTTTATGTGTTATGAGTATGTTGCCTATATGTATGTATGTGTCCTGCTTTCCTGGTGCCCAAAGAGGCCAGAAGAAGCCATTGGATCCCCTGGAACTGGAGTTATGGTTAGTTTCAAGTTAACATATGGGTGCTAGGAACCAAACCCAGTTCCTCAGCAAGAGCAACAAATGCTCTTAACTGCTCAGCCATTTTGCCAGTCCCAGCATGTATATTTTCCCAGCTCTCTACAAATAGTTCTTTGACATCAATTGAAACATTTTTCCTGGGGTTGGGGATTTAGCTCAGTGATAGAGCACTTGCCTAGCAAGTGCAAGGCCCTGGGTTTGGTCCTTAGCTCCAGAAAAAAAAAGAAAAAAGAAAAAAAAGAAACATTTTTCTCCTCACATCCCCTCCACCCTCTTTCTTTCTTTCTTTTTTTAATCTTTAGCTCCCCTCTCTCTCTCTGATGAAAAAAGAAACCAGTTGTTTTTTCTAGACATTTCTAGATTGTTTTTCTCAGTGGTTCCAGGGACATTTTTGCTCTAATCCATTTATAGCTCTTAGAGCATTACTCACTCCCTTATTCATTCAATGAAAATATTTGTCTTGGGCCTGCTACTTTACCAGGTAAACAAGACCTTGCACCCTTATTGCATTTCTAATCATGGTAACAATTCTAACAGGTGAATTGTAGCAAGCAGTGGAAGCGAAATTACAGAAGAGTTCAGTAGGATTTTTGGTTAGAAAGTAAATAGGATTTAAGGAAGGTATGCATACATATTTAAGCAATCAGAGAGGACATCCTGGAGGAGGTAGCATCTAACTAAGCTAATGTGAAAAGGACTTATTGGTAGTTCAAAACAGGTGAGATCTGATTGGTTCTGCAATGCAACAGCCAAGTAACTTGAGCACACTGCACAAGTCTCCTTATTTATGAACTCCAGAACAAATTTGATTCTTCTCTATAAGGTCAATATCATGATCAAGCAAATTCAATGCATGCAAGAGTTCAGAGCGGTACCCAGACCTCAACAACCATGCAGTCAGTATGTGTTGATAGTCTTCATTATTAGCCACCTGCAGTTGGTAGTGGGTCTTAATTGTTATGAAGATCTGACGGATAAATATAAAGAAATAAGGTCACTAAAGAGGGTGAAGTTATAGAGCTAGTGTGTCAGGGAAGAGAGCACATTGGAGGGATGAACTGAACAAAAATTTAATCCAGTTGGAATTAAGGGTATGGGCGTGAATGAAGGAACAACAAATAGGGAGGCTGAAGATATAGGGAGAAGGAAGAACAGGAAGGATTGACCCTCTGAAGGATTTGACCCAGAGAGCAGTGGAGAACGCATGAGGATTTCAAGACAGAAAATAACACAGTCAGATGCGCTTGTTAGAATGATGGTTTCTGTGTAGCCAAGAGGCTGGAGGGGGAGATGGGGAGATGGAGAAGGAGGCTGGAGGAAGATAGGGGGGATAGAAGAGGAGACTGAAGGAGGAGATGGAAGAGGAGGCCGGAGGGGGAGATGGGAAGGTGGAAGAGGAGACTGGAGGGGAGATGGGGAGATGGAAGAGGAAGCTGGAGGGGGAGATGGAAGAAGAGGCCGGAGGGGGAGATGGGAAGGTGGAAGAGGAGACAGTAACATTCTGGTCTAAGCTATGCCAGCCTGGAAGAAGGCAGTGGTGATTTCAGTACTTGGAGAGAAGGATGAGGACTAGGCAGATTTGGGGTTGACTTTAAGATGTAGATACCAGAAGGATGTAGGTACCACTCTCTGAGACGGAAAATGAGCCATGTGGATGTGGGAGAGTGAAGTCTAGTTGTAGAGATGGCAAAGGTAAAGTGGTTGTTGGGAGGGATTTGAGTGGGGATGTAAATGAGGTGTCTCATGGAGATGAATAGTAGGAGAGTGTCTAATGGAGAGGGGAAGAAATAGAGAACTAGTGTTTGCATGGATACAGAGCTTCAGCTTGAGACAATGACAAGTTCTGGAGTTCAGTAGTGGTGATGGTCACACAACAATGTGTGTGCGATGTTGCGACATTTTCACACTTAGACATGGTTAAATGTGGCCAGGGAGGTGGATTGGTACATTCATGTGCTTGCTGCACAAATACAATGGCCTGAGTTTGGGTTTCCAGCTTTCACATAAGAGCTAAGTGTGGCAGATGTATTTGTAATCCCAGCACTAGGGTGTGGGTGAAGACCAGCGGATCCTGGTGGTTCACAGGCCACTTAGTCTAGCCAATGCTGCCAGATGCAGGTTTAGTGACAGAAATTGCCTGAAGCAATTAAGGTGAAGAAGTGATTTGAAGTAGGTGTCTTGATACCAGCCTCCAGCCTCCACACACGCTAGCATATAATGCATCTGACACATACACCACACATCTGTATATGAGTGAGTGTATGTGCACACATATACACACATGCACACACCACATACACACACATACACACAATGGTTAAAGTGGTAGGTTTGATCATATGTGGAACTACAATAACAATGCATATAGATTGGCCTTTCAATTCCAGTTTTCTAGAAGATGAAAGTTTCCTGAGATAGAATATCAAAACTTACTGTCAGACGATACTCTATTTCCTCAGGAGACAAACTTTTTTTATATGATAAAAATTTCTATGCTGAGTTTGGATTCAGAAGTCTCCAAACCTCAAACTCCTTAAAAAAAACGAAAGAAGAAAACAGCATAGTCTAATCATGCAATATGTGGAGATCCATAAAAATCTATGCCCAAGAGACACTGACAGAGGGTTAAAAAAAAATAAGGGTCCACTAGCTCTCAGTTGAGATTATGGATAATGCCTGTTACAATGTTTATAGCCAAAGATACAGTGATAAGGGCTCTCTGGTGTTTTCCATTGCAACGAAATGAATAGCCAACTGGATGGATGTTCTGGTAAAAGGACATTCTAAAACGGATGCTTTTTAAAAACAAAGTCGGGATCTCTGGGATGATGTGTAGGGAATAAAAACAAAAATTTGAGGGGAACCCAGAAATGTTTAAAAAAAAACCAAACCACATTTAAGTTATATGTTCGTATTTGTTTACATATCATTTGCATGTAAGCATTTGTAGGTGACACGCTTCTTCTCTCTCTTTTTAAAAGACTTTGTGTGTGTGTGTGTGTGTGTGTGTGTGTGTGTGTGTGTGTGTGTGTGTGTGTGTAGAGGCCAGAAGAGGCTGTCAGATCACCTGGAGCTGGAATTACAAGTGGCTATGAGCTGCTCAGTGCGATTGGTGGGATCTGAACCCAGGTCTTCCATTAGAGCTGTTAGTGCTCTTAGCCCATGAGCCATCTCTTCAGCCTTCCTTCTCTTTTGCTCTCTTTGCTTGCAGAGGTTTTATTATCAGATGGCATTTCCAATTCAGAATGGCCACTGAACACCATGGAGATGTTTTTATTTACTGAAAAAACTCTAACAGAGAAACAAGCATAAAAGCACCATCGTTAGGGGAAAGAGAACGTGGGAAGATTTTAGATCGTTCCTTGGAGACATCAGCATACCAAGGGATGCTGATGGTTGCAGTAGAGAGCGATAATGCCATGGTGAGAGCGGGGAGACTTTCTTACTAACTGTCCTCCCTGCCGATGAGGATGGATTTGAACACTTCCACAACACTGTTTTAAATCACTCTATTGAGGTGTAATTGACAGGAAAAGTCTTGGTACACATCTTGATGAGTGTAGATACTTTTAAATCACTTCCCTCAATAGACATGTATAATGATTTTAAGTGTCAAAGGTACTTGATTGCTGTTTGGTTCAATTTTTTTTAATTGAGAAAATAATTCAACTAAAACAAGAATCCATGAGGATAGACATGTAAATAGAGAATTTTTTCTCCCCTATTTTTTCTTTTTCCTTTCCTTCTTCATTCCCTGTCTTCCTCCTTTCCTCCTCTTTCCTTCCTTCCTTCCTTCCTTCCTTCCTTCCTTCCTTCCTTCCTTCCTTCCTTCCTTCCTTCCTTCCTTCTGACAGAGTCTATGTACAGGCTGGCCTTGAACTTGTGATCCTTCTGCTTCTCGATCCCAAGTGCTAGATTATAGGGATGCTCATCCACACCAGGCTTTTTCAATACATTTTTAAAAGCTCTTACAATGACAGTATCACACCACATGGATCACTTTCCATGACATTGCTCAATCATTAGGTTGTGAAAATAGAGAGCGTGGTCTTGAGAAAGTGGTAGACACATAATAAATTTTAGTTAAACAAATCCATCAGCAAGCATTTATGGAGTGTCTTTGCTATTCCTACTCCTGTGAAAGAATGTGAAGCTTAGTCTCTGCCCTTAATTGAATGTCTCACATATTTCTGAAATGGAGGACCTGTCAATCTATCAATCTATCTATGACAATGTTTTTGGTTTGCTTGCTTACTTATTTGTCTTGCTCAATTTAGTTAGTTGGATATGTAGCTCGGGCAAGTCTTCAATTTGTGGATCCATTTGCCTCAGTTTCCTGGCTTCTGGGATTATGCATGTGCCCCACTGGCCTATTCAGAATGTTTTTCCAGACAAAGTGATTAAGAATACTACAGGCTCCCAGGACGCACTGTATGGGAAGAGTCGGGTTCTGGTAACGATCCGGGAGGCCATAAATAGCAATGGTACCTTTTCAATAAACAGTGACATTGAGGACTGGCACACCAGGAGGAAACAGGCCCTTCTCTGGTCACAGTCCCAAAAATGTGGACTAAGAAGAAAGACAAATGAACTTGTTTCTTTTCCAATTCCTGTTCAGGCTGTTATCAGTGCTCAGCAGGACTGGTTGGCTCTTCTTCCATCACCAGTAATAAAAACCAGGCCTCCTGTGATCTGCTCGGAACTTAAAGGAACTCAAAACAAGGCTTGCAGAGTCAGTGAGGAGAGGGGGTTAGCCTGGGAAATGAGTCAGCTGCCTCTTTGGCTGGTCTTTACTCTGTCTTGCTTCGGCTCCTGGGCTTTGGCTGAGTTATCTTTGTAGTGTGGCAACAAGGGACTTGACTATCCATAGCCCATCTTCTCCCTGGCACATTGCTATTATGAGCTGACAGAGGAACGCCCCATTCTGGTCTCTTTTGAGAGGAAAGACACAGCCTTGTTGATCAGACTTAATATTTACTTGGATTCAAGCCTTACCTTGAGGTTGCGCTCAATCCCAACGTAGTCCGCTTCTTCAGGGATCATAACGAAGAGTTCAGCTTCATAGGCTCCCTCTCCTTCATTTCTTGCATTTATGATGAGCATAAGGTGGTTTTCATCCCCGATAATTATCTGATGCTTATCTCTAAAAACACAGTTTAAAAAGAGTGATTATGCAACTCAACATCACTGGCTTCATGAATCTATTTTAGAAATTTAAATAATGTGTGCCTGTAACCTAAGCACTCAGGAGACTGGGATGGGAAAATTGGAAGTTTGAGACCATCCTGAACTATTGAACTACATAGCAACAGTCTGGCTCAAAACAAACAAACAAACAAAGAAACAAACACACAGGAATAAAATAATGATTTAGGAGGAAAAAAAGGAAATGTCAAACGCAAGGCTAGGATTATGAAAGAAGACAGCTGGTCAAGAAGATAAGAAGATTTAAGGGAACAATTTCTGAATGGGAAAGGGTGGGAAAATGTTCAATGATGTGCAAGCAACTATTTAACAATTTGTTCTAAAAAATAAAACTGATACATATCATTTGTGGATTCCAGTGCTGTGTCCTCCCTCTGTGACCATTTTGAAGCTATCAACACACTGACCAGTCGGCTAACAAAACTCCTGCAAACTTAACATTTGACTTCGGAGCCAGAGTGAAGAGCTCCCAACTCCTTCAAATCACTGAGAACACACATGAGGGAGAGAGCGAGCTGTGGGGAAAGAAAGAGGCGCGTTTAGACAGGAATAGAGAGAGACACAGCAACGTGGGTTCGAAGAGGGGAAAGCAGGCAGGCGAAACGGGATCTCAAATGGCTGATAGAGTGCTCTGAAGTATTTTGAGGAAATTTTGTTCACTTTGAACTCCAAATGAAACCAATATTTAGAAACGCCTCTTCCACTTCTGCCTCCCCCCTCAAAGCTATTGCTTTGGACACTTAGTAAATTGTGAACATCGGGGCAAGTCCCCTTGAGAGATTACCAAGCGGATTCCAAACGCTGGCAGTGCAGGAGTTCCTGGGAGAGAGGAGTATAGCCCGCGTTTCCACCCAGGGGTGCCTCCCCCCTACTCCCATTTCTTTCCACAACATAACAGTGCAATTACCAGCTCCGGAGTCTAGGCTGCCATTACTGGCAGCTGTGAAGCCCTTTGTTCTCATTTGACGCTCTGACACTTTCTGCTCGACTCCCCGGTGTGTCTTTTAAGTCCTCCCCCAAGTAAATTAAAATTAATTTTGTTTTGACAGTTTTAAGGAGGCCTTTGAGTCATGGGGTGCTGCAAAAACAAGTTTGGTTAAGGTGTGGACTGAACTGGCTTGTCTGAACCCTTTCTCACTTGACTGAGGTAGGTAAATATAACCTGAGCCACACCACACATGAGTTTACTTTCAACAAAAGCACTTTTGCCCCCCACTCTTGCTGAAAGATGAAATGGCCCAGGCAAGATCTCAGGGTGTGTCCCTTGACACCAGTGACAGAGGACTGACCAGATCAGAGGCAAATCCAGAGTGGGGTCACTCTCAAGAATTTCACGCATCACTCCCCCCAACCCCCAGTTCTTGGAAGAATATACTTTCTCAAAAGGAGCTTTAAGTAAACACCCCGTAGACCACCAGGTGTGATGCACACGTTTATTTATTTAAACTTACGGTCTGGCTGACAGCTTCAGGTCGGGAACACATAGATTGTCTTCTCCACAGTCCACCAGGATGCGAGCCTGTGTTGAGCAAGTGAGGCATCAGAAAGACTCTGAGAAGACTCACATCGGGTCCTTTCTCTGGAAGATTCTAAAGGATTCTATCAACTAAACCAAAGCTTTTGTTTCACTGCACAGGAGCCTGCCCAACTCCATACTCTCTGTGACGTTAAGAGACCTCTTGATAGAGGCCATTTTATAGCCCGTCTCCAGGTTGCTCTGAAATGTCTGTAGATGATGCTAACTGGCCCTGTTCTTAGGATTCCTGCCTATGTTGCTTTCATTTCTGCTACACGGGAACCCATTAAATCTTGGCTGCACAAAGGGAAAGGCTTCCAAAGTCACAACGAGGAAACATGCTAGGAACATGCCCCGGAGGCTGTGTAACTCTGTGCGCAGATGGGAATACAAGGGGCTGGCTTTCATCTTCAGGGCTCAGGAACGACTCTCTCCAGAGAATGGTGGAGAAAACGTCTTCAGACCTTTGCATCAAGGACTTACCTGCTCGGTAACTACGTTGTCCCTGTAGTGGTTCAATATTGGTTTCACTTCTAGGCCATCTTTAAAGGTGGAGTCATCCAAACTGTAGTTCAGGCTAATGTTGATGGGAGATAATTTATCTCGGAATTCAGTTTCATCCTAGGAAAAAATAATCACCAGCTTAAGCCCATGAAATGAATACAAATGAAATGTGACAAGCAGGCAACCCTGGATTCCCATCAGCATTAGTGAGTGACCATGTTCGCTGCAACAGGCTGAACTGGGTGCTGATACATGTGGTCTGCACTAGCCAGCATAATTAAGATATGTTCAGTGATGGGGTCACCTACAGCCAAGGCTTCCCTGGGATACTCTAGAGCAATGGGAGTTACTAACGCTTTCACAGGAGTCCCATATCAGGTATCCTACAGATCAGATATTTACAATACAATTCATAACAGCAGCAAAATTACAGTTATGAAGTAGCAACGAATTAATTTTTTGTGTGGGATTCACCACAACATGAGGAACTGTATTAATGTATTAAAGCATTAGGAAGGTTGAGAACCACTGCTCTAGAGGAAATCTTCAGTTACCCCAGACCCCAACACCTGACACTGGATCAGTCAAGTCCCCAAGTAAAACACACACCACAGATGCCAGAGAACACCACGAGTCAGGATTTTTTGTTTGTTTCGGTGAAGTTGCCAGAAGGTTCTCTGGGGCTCAGAGGAAGACAACATTTTACTTCTTCCCCTTCATTGTTTCTTTTAAGTCGTTTCATGAACTTCAAAACACCTTCAGCACGTTTGAAGGTGTCTTGGATACAGAAACAGAAGTCCTCCCGGGGTGAGGAGAGATCATGGGACGCTCAGTTCTAAGCATGCAAGCCAGCATCCCGGTCTTCAGCTGTGCTCTTCAAGGCTATACTAAGATGGAGGGCCAGGGGGCCATGTGCCTGGCTTCTCGTTCTCAAGTGTAGCTGTGAACCTTTGGTCCTTCCTAGGGTTGTCTGTTAACTAAGTCCCTGATGGGAAGAGAAGACACAGAAATACCGATCACCGGCTAACACTAGCATCATGGCGGTAGATAACTGGGTCCCAGACATGTTGAATTTTAAATTTCATGAGAATTTGTAAAAACACATCACCTTTAAAAACACAATTACAAATTATTTTTCATGAAAGTTTGGTTCCCCAAGCCAGCTTTAAGTGCATCCTGATAAAATCTAACAGGACATACTCACATAGGATCAAAAAAACAATCAAATAAATTGAGTTGAACTTTTATGTATGGGGGAGGGGAGGCAGTCAAAACTGAAAGTCACCTGAGTTAAGTGCTATTATCAAGGTTCTGTCCGAAACAAAAAAGAAGCCGTAGAAATTAATAGCAACAAATCATTGGGTTAGTTGAAGTCAGGGTCAGCAAGAAGTATTCAACCTTCAACTAGAGTTTCCTCCCAGGAAAATGAAAATAGACAGATGGGAGTCTGTGGCACGTGTGATGGTTAAGGAGATAGAAATGGTCGGAACTGGAATTTGAATGTGAGAAGCCCCAGAAGGGATTTCTAGAAAACTTACTCGGAGGTAAACGATAAAATCCCGACAGTGGGGGGATTTCTGCTGCTTCATCACAATGGGGAAGGTGAGATGGGACTGGTGGTTCCGGAGGAAGAGTGTCCGCTTGATGGCTCCTTTTTGCTTCAGGAAATCTAGCTGCACCTCGGCCACCAGGGCTAAAGGACAGACAGGGGATAAACAAAATCTCAGGAGGAAAAGCATTGGGCTAACACAGTGCTGGCAGGGGTAGGGACTCATGACAAGTTGCTTCTTCAGGAAAACTTTTTCTTTTCATAGTTGGATCAAACAACATATAAGTTGAAGGAGTATTAAAAAAAAATACTGCCCAATATAGAACTGTTTTGTGGCTTTGCATGCATATGTGGTGTATGTGTGTCCACATGCTCATGTGTTTATGTGTGTATGCTTGTGTATGTGTGAGTATGCGTGCATGTGTGGAAACCACAGGTTGACACTGGGTGTCTTACTTGATTACCCCCACCCACTTCTTTTTTGAGATAGGGTCTCTCGCGGTACCTGGAGCTCACCAGTTTGGCTAGAGTGGCTGATCAGTGAGGTCTAGGGAGTGCCTGTCTCTACCTTTCCAGCATTTGGATTACAGAGGCATCCGCCACATTTGGCTTTTATACTCACTGAGGGTCCAAACTTAGGTCCACATGCACGCACAGCAAGTCCTTTACAACCAAGCTATCTCCCCAGCCCATATTTCGTAACTTAAATTATATGTGTGTGTGTGTATGTATGTATATGTATAAAAAGTATCACTTTTCCAATTATTTTTTGATAGTGAATATCCATGATTAAAGTAGTATTAATTAGACAATTTTAAAATGTACAATAGATATTTGAACTTTAATAAAGGGACCTTTAGTTTTCTAAGATTTGTGCATAGAAATATGTCATGTTTTCTTTGCATAGGATAGCATAAAGATGAAAATATGCTCACCTATTGTATTTGAAAGGCTCTGGCCTGCTATAGATGCACAGACTCTTAAAGAAAAGCTGTGGGAAAACAGTTGTTGGTTAGTAAAGTTATGAATCTGAGATAGGAATCTGATCCCCTCCTTCCAGATAAAATGAACACATCATTTCCTTCTATACATTTAATTATATACACATACACATGTGTGTGCACGTATACCCCCCCACATACACACTCCCACCAACTTGACACAATATTAATACAATTGACACAGGTAGCCTTTGCATAGGGAGGCAAATCCTTGAAAACATTGGTAGAGATCCAATTAATTGGTTAACACCCCCACTTTCTTTACGCAGTGAACACACATGAAGATCTTCCTTGTGCCATGGAGTAAAGAACTGGGCAGCACGGTGGGGGAAACGCTGCGGAAAAGGATGGAGAAGAGCAAAACCCTGGCTCCACTTGAGGCACTTGAAATTTTCCGGTGTGACTAGAGCTCCCAGCAAGACGAGGTCAGCTGGTTTGGTTGATGGGTGGCGAACAGGGCTTTGAAGTCATGGTTAGGCCTGTGAATTTAATCTTAAGCACGAAACAGCAGGCTGGTCTTAACATCAGTCAGCCACACTGTTGGGAGGAGACTGGAACTCGGCACCTTGTGAGGAGAGAGAGAGAGCGAGGGAGGTGGAGGGAGAGAGAGAGAAAGTTAAAGCGGCTGACTCAAGCCAACTGTACACGGTGATGTGGGTATAAAGGCAGTGATAGCTGAATCCAAGACACTTTGTAATTTTGTCTTCAGCATGCACTAACCGCCATCCAAGAAATGTTTGTGGAGATTGTCTCGTGACCTGAACTTGCCCTGGTTTATGGCCATAGACTGGATGGAAAATACCCACTTGTTTCCACTTGACTTTATCAAATATTCTCACCTCCCTCCTGAAATAGTCTAACAGCCAGGATGTAGTCAGGACCTATGAGCGTTGGTAAGAAAGTAAAGACATGAGAGAATAGATGATTTGCTGACAGTCTTAAAGATTTTACTAATAAAATTCTAGTATGATTTGAGTGTTTCTATGGAATTCAAAAGAAGTAAATACTCTCCAATCATGCTTTAATTAGATGTCAGCGTCCTGTGTCAAACGTAACAGAAATGTGTCACATCTGGGATTCATCTATCCCCGTGACCTCAGTCAATGTCTCCCTTCAGGGTAAGTAATTCGCCACACACCATTTAGGCAAAAGTTTCCTGAGATGTCTGTGCTATTACTAGTGTTTATACCACTTCCCCAGAGAAATCACAAACGGCAGCCCACTTCTCCTTCAATTAGAATTATTCATGGAAGGTGGGTAGGAAATTACATCTTTAAATTTTCTGAATTTTTTTCCCCATGCCCAGCTTTCCTATAAGCACTTGGTATGTGTTACCATTGTCTGCCGGCCGATGTTTTACTCACAATTTCTCAGCATAGACAGAGCTTTGGCAAAATAAATCCACATTTATGGTGAAATCATCAATATATAAAATTTAAATGAACTTACATACAGTAATTGCTTTGTACAATGTGAAGCAATATAACTTTCACAAAGGAGTAAGTTACAGTTACGAAAATGGATGTTGAGTCTTTGGAAAGAAGGAATTTGATAAATGATGTTGTCAGCTGAAGGCTTTATCTTAGTTTGTAAATTATGTCAGAGTACATTTATATTTCTTTCTTAGTTCTCCCTTTCTGTTACTTCAATATCATTAACAATTGGATGAGTTTAACTTTCATTCAAATTTAGTATAACTGCTATAGCCTGCTGAAATATTGCTAGTAGCATTTCAACTTGAACCCACCAGGTTAAAGACGGCTCTAGTTAAAATACCTTTTCAAAGTGGCAGGTTTTCTATAGTTCTTTTCTAAACTAAAAAGAAGATTTCAAAATTCTACAGCAGTGGATGGCCACATCCATCCTAAATACAGGAAGATATTTGTTAGCTATATCTACAGATATATAGTGAGGAACCAGCTCCATTCTCAGATCAATACATAATTATGAATTGTGTCACGCAAAACTGAAATATGACTTAATGTGAAATATAATTTCAAGCTATGATTTATGTTCAAATTCAGCAAAGCCCATTAGTCTCAACATTTTGATTGAAAAAATAAAACAAAGCCAAACACAAACTACATGAAATCAACTGAGAGCTCTCATTGCATACATCTACATGAAACTATTGGCAGACAGGCTGCTATCCACAGAAGGCAGGATAGACACAACACGATCCAATCCTCACACTATTTGCCCCCCATGAGACAGTGAACAAGGAGCTTGTGGTGTAACTCTGATCATGGTAGTGGATAATGAGAAATGAGATAAATGTGAAATCTGCTTTCAAAATACAAAGCCAGATGGGGAGATGCTAGTTGGCCCAGGGCTTGCTGTACAAGCATGAGGACCTGGATTTGGATCACCAGCATCCAAAGGAACCCCGCCCCCCAGGCACAACAGCAGTTATCCCAGTGCTGGGTTTGAGGATAGGGAAGAGATACGGAGACAAGTGACTCTAGGGCAACCTAGAGCCTCAACCTGTGGGTCAAGAGCCCCTTAGCGGTCAAATGACCCTTTCACGTGGGTCTCATATCAGATATTCTGTATATCAGATATTTACATTATGATTCATAGCAATAGCAAAATTACAGTTAGGAAGTAGCAATGAAAATAATTTTATGGTTGGGGGTCACCATCACACAAGTAACTGTATTAAAGAGTTGCAGCACTAAGAAGGTTGAGAACCACTGCTCTAGGGTTTATGGCTAGCCAGGGTAGCCTAATTGATGAGATCGAATGAGGTTCAGTGAGAGACTCTGTCTCAAAACTAAGATGGACATTGATTAAGGAATATACCTGATATCAACCTGTGGCCTCCACACACCTGTGTGCACACACCCATGTGCACATGTGCACACACATATAAATATATATATATGTGTATGTATATATATCACACTCACCACATATGCACAAAATAACAAAGTACAAAGCAAACAATCACTATTTCTAATTTATTTATTTATTATTGTCCATATATGTACTTGATGTGTGTGTGTTGGGGAGCACACATGTCATGGAGCTCATGTGGAGATCAGAGGACAATTTTGTAGAATTGATTTACCTTCCACCTTTGCTCAGGTTCTGAGGATTGAACTCAGGTCCCAAGGCTTGTGTGGCAAGTGCCTTTACCAGTTGACCCATCTCATTACAAATTCAACTCTACTTTAATGATGATTTTATATGATGTCATTGATATCTGAAAAAAGCCTCTTTTTTGAGATTGGAGAAGTAGATAGTTTGTTTTATGTTTATAAAACAGAAAAACATCACTAGTTTTTCTCATTAGTAACCAATTATCTTAATATTTAGTATGCTGAATTTCATTTCCTTTTTTCTAACTGAGCAATGCCAACAGCAGATATTTTACACAACCAGACAGCTGACTGAATAACTCGGAAATCCACAGGGGAAGGAAGTGAGGAATGCTTTGTGACTGGAGTTTGCAAAAGGGTTTATCTACTGTGCAAGCTCATGCCAAATCAGGTCAATGTCACAGCAAAGATGCTTCAAGTACTCTGGGTCAACTGCATGGAACACTTCTACAGGAGTCAGCTGTTTGCTTCCTGTCTCGAGTCTGGTTGGTTGGTTGAGGATCCGAGGATAGAACCCGGGGCACCCTACTACTGAGATATACCCTCATTCTCCAGCTTTGTCTTTCAATATTCTGAAACACATGAAAACTTTTGCACTTGAAAATTAAGTATCTTCAGAAAAGGACACAATAGACTTAAGTAACAGTAATAGGATAGAATTAAGCAAATGCAGTATAATTTGTCCCTAGAACAAATTACATTTTATCTTAGTAACATGACTCCAATCAACAAGGAAATGGCTGGTGAAGGGAAAGGCATTGGCCAAGGGGCTATTGGCAGTTGATGGCAGCTTGGATGAAAGTGGCTTTTCCTTGGCAGTGTGAATACTGGTGGGTTTCCAGTGCCCTGGTGGATGACACTATCCATGCCCATGCATAAATCAACAGCACTAATCAGACAGAGTGGTTTAAATAAAGAACTACAGAAGAAGTATATTGAGTTGTGAGGGAGGGGTGATGAGGGTCCTGGTGGGGGGAATTGGGAATGGAGTGAGGGTTGGATATGATCAAGATACATTCTATACATGTATGAAAATTTTCAAAGATAAAAAAATTTTTTCCTGAGCAAAAGTAAATACTCCTATATTCTTTTGAAAAAGACTCCAATCTCTTTTTTAAATCCATAAAACTAAAACTCTTTAGGAAATAAATCATGTATTTCAAAATAAACACATTCTGTACTGGAATGTTGCTGTCGTGCTTAACAGACTGCAGTGTGGAACCCGGGTTTTGAAGGTGTGAACAGAGGGCTCCTTGGAGACTATGAGAGTCTTAATGCTCACAGCCAAACAGCACTCACAGTTCATTTAGTGCTCACTTAATCACGCCGGGCAGTGGGGAAATGCTGGCTCTCTCACATTCTCTCAGGTCAGGTTTTCATTATACTATTTTATGGTTTAAAACCATTTTAAAGTTTGCTCAGGGCATTCCCCAACTACTTTCAAAGGCAGTTAAAGGAGAGGACCGGCCTTCCCACACAGGGAACCCCTCACAACAGGATGTTTTCCAAAGAATTCTTCAGGAACCTGGAACTCTCTGCCCCCTACACCCACCCCTGTAGGTTTGATTCCCATAGGAACTCCTGTCAAACGGCCATCAACAACATGCTAAGATGTGCCACAAATAGCTTCTCAGGGTCAAGGCTGGTTTGTTCTTTATTCTGATATTGTCAAGAACTCAACAGTCACCCTGGAAAATGAAGGTGAATCTCAAAGACCTTTGTTGATTTTCCAGAGGAAATGCCCTGGTACCATGGACCAGCACAGTGTCTTCTGCTGTCTGGGATCCCTACACTAACAAATAAACTGGTACTTTTTCTTGGGATGTGTTATAACCCAGTTCCATTTTGTCATTTTGTGACAGGCATAAGTCAAAAGCTAGATAAGCCATGTTTCCTACTGTCCCTTTTATCCTTGTAATATCATGGCCACAAGAACAGGTCAGTGTACAAAAATATCCTTTTTTTATAACATTGACCTTCTGTCCAGTCATACATGCCAAGTTACAAAACTGCTATTTTTAGCACATGGAACTAAGTAATTCAGACTAGTTTGTTTATTTCAAAAAAGAGAGACACGATAGCTTTCAAAAGTGGCATCCACAATATATGCAAAAGTTAGAGTCAAGATATTTTGGTGTGTTTTGGGTTTGGTTAACATTTAGTGTGCCAAGAAGTTTGTTTAACTGGGAATTTCCCAAGTATTTTGGTCTTTTTAAATCTAAGAGCCTGTAGGTTAGAGTACTGGCCTTTGTCTAAGCCCACAGTCAGAGCTCAGCATCACATCAGCATTCCTCTGCAAAGATTGGGTCTCTGCTGCTCAGTCTTGGTCTGTAGTCCAGAAACCTGAACATCCTCTTGAAGATTTTTATATATATTCAGTATGCATGACCTCAGACCCTACCCCAGACTTTCTACACCCAAATCTGCATTTTTTAAATAAATAAGATCTAGGTGATTTGACCCCATGTTAGAACGTGTGTATTACTGGGCTAACTTACCAGGCTACAGGTGTCGGGAATTCCGGAATCTGGCAAGTTTTATTTTCAAGGTTGATAATCATCGGGTGTAGTAGGAGCTGGGCATCCACTGTTACAACTGGCCTTGCTCTGTCGGGAGAAAGCTGGAGCATGAGTGGAACTCATGAATCATGGAGGGGATCTTTCCCTGATTAAAGGAACTCTTCTTCTAGAGGTCATTGCCAACATACCCAGCCTTGCACAATGAATTCTGCTCTTGGCATGAACAAGTGGGCACCACACTCAGAAGATCCCCTCTAACCCATCAGAGAGCAGAGAGCTCTGAACAAAGGATGCTAGAGGCCTATCAAGCACATTACATCCATTGACCTGATTTCTTTATGGAGTAGACTCACTATATTGTGATAATACAGTGTGATTATAACACAGCTCCATGATTTTCTGGGAGCCCTATGTCCATATTTGAGGAGACATATATTTTATTTAAAGATTTATTTTATTTATATTTATATATATGTACACATGCTGGTGACTATGGAATCCAGAGAGGGCATCAGATGTTCTGGAGCTGGAGTTTTAGGTAGTTGTGAACCATCCTGTGTGGGATATGGAACCCAAACTTGGGTCTTCTTCAAGGACAGCAAGCTCTCTTAACTATTAAGCTACCTCACCAACCCCAAGACACATCTACTCACAATAAGTACTTGAGGCTTTTGAATTTTGTTGGCTCATTGATAATTTTTCAAATTGACTGGTAATTTCCTAGCTAAGCTTTGCAGATTCAAGAACACACGAAAGTGGGTTTATAGAACAATTCTGTACTTCACCCCAAGAAGTAGTTCTTAATCCTGTCTGCACAATGTAATTACTCAGGAAACTTTCAAACAAACACTATGCCCAGACATCATCGTGGGTCAATGCAACTAGAATGTCTGGGGTAAGGCCCAGGGTTGGAATTTTAAACACATTCTCAGGCAATTCTAATAGTCGTATCTGAGGCGAGGAATGAATGTGAAAGCCATCCTAGAGAGGATAACAAGGAAAGAGAGTAGGAAAACATAGAGCAGGAAGGTGGAGCAGCTTTTGAAGTTTCCTTATAAGAGATACTAGCTGGGAGCCAAAATTTCCAGAATTAAGTGTACACTGATGCTATGTTGAATAGGTTTCTTCTGACAGACAGGGGGAGGGTCATGTCTAGGGGCCAAATACTGTGCAAACAGTTTCATGATAACAACATGGGGGCCACTGGGATTTTTTTTACAAGCCTCTTGATGTTATCTGTACTGTATTATTTTATTTTCAAAATTGTATTATTTCCAGTTCTGGGGGTGGGGGATCTGATGATAAAATGGTATTAGGCATGCGAGAGATTTGCTGTGGCAATCACCTTTGAGAAGAAAGGGGAGTGAGTGGAGGAAGTGGGGGTGATAATCCCCTTAAGGATGAAGAAGATTCTGGCATGGACATTGGAGTGTCCTTGGGCAGAATCGCCTGTGACAGAATTGTCTCCAAGGACCAATATGCATTTATGCCCTTGTGCCAGCAATAGGCTGGAGCAGATCATGGAAAATATGAGATTAGCACAGAGCTGTTGATTTGGAGTGTGGCAGACAGAGCAGGGTTCTTGGTCGTGTAAATTTGTGGCCATAAGAAGCTTAAGCCTCATGCTTCAGAGGTGCTGGAGTTTCAGCTCTCTGATGCTCTGTATCCTAAATGAGAAGAGTTGGCACAAATCAGTCCCTGACACATTTATATTGGGGTTGAGGAAGAAAAGCTGGTTTGAGGAAAGCTAACCTTAGGGTCTGTCTGGGAGTTAGCCACCTTAGCATCACATGCCTAGGACACCTGCACATGCTGGTCTGTATGCATGCATTCACATATGACTTTTGTCTTGAAATCCTGACCCAGTTCATTGGATTCATATTAAACATTTTAAGAAAGCTCAACTACCTAACCAGCTATTACTCAGCATAATTTGCATTCAAATTCTCACTGAATTCTTTGGACACAAGTAGTTTCTTAAGATAAGTATTGATAGTCCAGTTTATAGATGAGAACCAGATGCTTAGAAGGCTATAGAACAGTGATTTTCAACCTGTGGGTCATGACTCCTGGGTAAACGTCTATCTCCAACAATTCATAACAGTAGCAAAGTAACAATTATGAAGCAGCAACAAAAATAATTTTATGGTTAGGGAGTCACCACAACATGAGCAACCATATTAAAGAGTCACAGCAATAGGAAGGTTGAAAATCACTGCTACAGGAGTTTTCCCCGAAATTACAGAACAGTTAGTGTGTGGAAGGGTCAGGTTCTGATCCCAGGTCTATTGCATTAATGCTGCAGAGGGCTTGCTTCTGGAGGGGATGACTCCTGGCAGGTTCTATTCCCCAACTTCTTGTCCACACTTGGATGTAAGAGTGAGGGTAAATAGTCACATTCTCCCTGCCATAATTCTGTCCTACATGTCACTGATAATTCCCAAAGCATAGATAGTCCAAGTTCAGAGCCATCTAAAACATGGGTCGTTTTCTGATTTGATGATTTTAATACCTTATTTAATGTCAGGTGTATTAGTAGGAGCTGGAGATTTGCTCATAAAGTAAGAGAATAAAAATATGTAGAAATGAGAGAAAGGTGAAAAATACACCCAGAATTGTAAAAAGACATAGGAGCATTCTCCAGAATTAGCAGGTGAGATAGGTCTTTGGAGTCTCAAAGGCAAGACTACTCACATAAGGAAAATGCATTTAAAGCAGAAGAATATTTGCGTACCAGCACCACATACCTGTAGACAGTCACTTTCCCTTTTCCAAACGCTCCCACAAGTAAATCTTTAAAAAAAAAAAGCAAAAGCAAAATACATGCATAAGTTTTTAGAAGTAATCGACCTGATAAGCATTTCTAATCCCCAAACCCCAGATTAGAAATGCCCTCTCAACCTGAAACTTTTTGGGCACCAACATGATGTTACGAGTGGAAAATTCTACACAGTTTTATGCACAAAACTATTAAAAATTTTTTTTTATAAAATTACCATCAGGCTGTGTGTCTAAGGTATGTAAAAAATGTAAATGCATTTTGTATTTATGCTTGGGTCCAATCTCTAAGATTGCTCACTATGTACATGCAAATATTTCATAACCAGAAAATAAAATAAGCAGAAACTTAAAGACTTCTGGTCCTGAGTGTTTCTAGGAAGGGCGGCTCAGCCTTATCTGCACTAAGCTCAAAGTTGGAAGCAGCACACAGGATGCCCCAGGGTTCCCACTGCACAGTGAGAACCATAAAAACAGAAGAAGAATTCACACTGCTCTTAAGACAATTTGGAAGAGTGTGGGGCTTCGGTGCAATGACAGTATGGCACAGGAATGAGTGGCTTTCAAACACCTTCTGTTTCAGACATGCTTGCAAACTCACCATGGTATCATTTTCCCCGTTCTCTAGATTCACGGCTGATGACCCAGGAAAAGGAAAAGGGAACAAGGACAAGCTGAGAACTGACTGTAGGCCTGATCTATTATTATATGTGCTGTCTTAGTTCTCCCATTCCAAGGACAACCCTGGGGAGCAAGGATCATTGCCTGCAAAGTAGCACATTCTGAGTGTCATTCTGAGACCACCGCCCGCTCTTGCCAGAGAGTGCGGTTAATAAGTATTCTTTTGGTGAAGCAGCCCATATGACATGAAATAACTGAAATATTATCCCGATGATCTTAAGTAACAACAGTAACAGTAAATAGCACACGGACAACCCAATAATTTAATACAATTTTCTCCAATTTCTAAAAATTTTTTGACTTCTAAGAAGAAATTTGAAAGTTAACCAACAGTAAACTTACAGAGACATACACTGAATATTAAGATGACTACATTATAAACTTATTGACATTCACATGACCAGGTCAGAGGTAGATCTGAGTGAGAGCAATAGTGAAATCTTGGACTCTTTGAGGGGACAAACTATCTCAGTGCTTTGCCTGGGAGGCAAAGTCTGTCTCCATCTAATTTACAGTGGTAATTTTTGGTGGAAAGACACAAAATTAGAAATGACACTGGGTACATCTAAAGAATGAACAGAGAATGGACTTGGGAGGAACAAGGGCTGTAGAAGGAAACATACACAGTTCAGACTATAATTGGTTAATTCTAGTGAAAGAGAAGGTAAGTAGGGGGATGAGGAAACGTCTTGCGAAGCTGTGTGGAGGAGGATAGAGGAATTAAATTGGTACAAGGGGATTTCACAGCAAAAGACTCAGTGCCATACTGTCTTGTCAGTCATCTTTCTGTCTGGTTCTTTCTCTCAGGTTTACCCCCGGGAACAGCATTAGCCACTTAGGGCTGGGAGCTGGAACTGAGCAGTAGACATACAGCTTCCCGGTCCAAGTGGAGCCACTTGGAGGGGTGTCCCTTCCTGTGCCCTGGATGTCACCAGCCAGAGAAAACCATAGCTACCTACAGTGGCAACCAGATTTGTGACTCTCCTCTTGGCATCCGTCCTTTCTGAGTTTTCCTTCATCTTTTCCACATCAATATTTTGCAGGCTAACTCCTCCAATACACAATTTGTTTTCTAATTCTTGGCTTAATGTCTGCTTGGGGAAAACTCAGTCTAAGATACGATGATTCTCATTACATATTTTCTCTTAAGAAATGGGCACAAACATCTCCAAGATCAAAACCTCAGACAAACCCTTTCTGTTTTGGAAATAGAGAGTCTGGAATAGGAGGCTCAGGATTTGACTCTGAGGCACTGCACATACTATTGTTTGAGAAAGCCAAACACAAGCCATCTAAAGAGAGCTGTGTCTATGGAATTAAAGAAACCACTGAAAAGGGGACTGCAGCTTAGCCAGCTTCTGCCTCAAATCCCTGAAGCAGGATGCCTATGTTCCTAAGTCTTCCAGTTCTAAAAATCATCTCAATGACGTATATTAGAATTTCAACTTCTCTGACTTTTTTCATATGTATTCTTTGTTACACGTGCCTCCTAGGGGATATTAGTGCATTTTGTTACACGTGCCTCCTAGGGGATATTAGTGCATTTTGTTACACGTGCCTCCTAGGGGATATTAGTGCATTTTTTTTAACCATCACCAGAACATGAACTCTTCTATCTGTGTACTCATGGGCTCCAAATCTGAGATGAGTGTAATAAGGGTAGCCTCACTTGAATCTGTATCTGTTGCCATGACAGCAGATGGACAGCTCTGTTACCCAAACTGATTCAAGAGGAATTGTGGGCTTTGTTCTTGGTACTAAGTAAAGAGAAATATTTATACCCAAATATTGGATCTTGTACTAAAAGAGATGAATTTTAAAATTTTATTTGGAGGGTCTCAATGGATAAGAGTCCTTGCTCTATAAGCATGAGGACCTGAGCTTGAATCCCCAGAACCATGTTAAAAGCCAGACATGATTCTGCATACTTGTAACCCCAGAATTGGAGGACAGAGACAGGTGGACCCCAAGAACTCAGTGACCTATCAGCTTACACTTTGATGAGAAGGCCGTAAGATGGACAGCAGTAGAGGAAGACACCCAATGTCCTTTTCTGGCCTTTTAATGGTCATGTATGAGCATGACCACCTATCACACACACACACACACACACACACACACACACACACACACACACACACACACACCAGAGGTGGGATTATCTGATAAAAAAGTGAAAGGACATGAGATTATAAACCCTTGCAGGGCAGGAGTCTTTGAGTTTGCATAGTCAAAGACTTCATGCAATAGTGTGGGTTAAAATAAATAAAAAAGGAAAGAAACCTTTGCTTCTGTGGTATTGGGCATAGAGCCAGATACAAAGTCAAGGCCCACAACTTCCTAACTGAGAGACAAAGTGTGACTATGATCATGTTCTAAGGGTGAGCAGCATGAAGAGCTGCATCAGTGCATGGGAACCAGAGGGGAATTCTGCTGGATGAAGTGTGCACATGTGCACACACCCTCCCAAATCTAGACTGTGAATAGAGGCTCTGTCACAGTCAGATTGTCATTAGAGCTAAGAATCCCGGAGACTAACTCCTACCATGACAAAGAAGAGGATCACGCCTTTAGGCACTTTAATTCCTCTGCTTCAGGGAGGGAATTTTCCAACTCTGGAAAAATAAAACTAATAGGCAAAATAGGCCCCAATTTTCTTTGTAAGAATATAGCCACAGTTATTTGGAGGCCGAGAAAACAGTTATCTACCACAAAAGTATGCTTGTCTGATGAGACCCCAGAAGTATTATGGGGTATATGCCTACTGGAAAGGCCAAGAGCGTTTATGCTCAGGTTCTCAAGTTGGGCAGATCCCTTTAAGGAAGGAGAATTGATTTGCTGGTTACATTTCTAACTAATCTCTCTTTCTAAATGCTGGGACAGGTTTTGATAAGCACCCTGGAGATTTTCCCTTTTTCTCTCTGCTTCTCTCTATGTATTGCATAGGTATAGGATGGATGCTCATGTGTGCATCCACTTATGTATCTATATATCCTTTATGTACACAGAAATAAATGTTTGTGTGTATATGCATATTTGTGTATGTATATATGCATGCACAAATATGTATGCACACCCAGAAACAATACTTTTTAAGTACTTTTATTTTTCCATCATGTTGTTCTCACGAGTCTAACATTTATTCTCAAGCTTCATTGCAAGCACTGTTCCCCACTGAACCATCTCACCTTTGTTTAGGCATTGAAATGATAACCTGGAGACAAAGTAATTTTGCTGCTGATCTGTGGGTGGGTAACTGGATACACTTTCTCCCCACTCCCTCACTTTCTGATAACAGGTCTTCTACTATGAGCCCATGCTCACTCCCCCCCCCCCCCCCCCGCCGGTTACTAACTGTCTCAAAGGCAAATCTGAAAACAAGCATATGAAAAATGTTGCCCTTCTCCACACCGACACATTAGCTGTTTTTTTTTATTTGTTTTGTTTTGTCTTTCTGGAAGAAATAACTGGCAACTCAAATCCTCTCTTTCCACTCAATCAGAAAATGTTCTGTAGGTGCCTCAGGCCTTTGTCATGCCTCACTGGAGTGGAGTTTGTTTTCCTCTGGATGGAAGGACAGACAGGGCGCTCTTAAGGAAACAAAAAAGGAACAGCACAGATGCAGGATCCTAAAAGGTGAAGTCAGCAGAGCTGTGCTCTACCTATGTCTTCGTTATTTTTAAAGAAGGAGGAAGTGCTCAGCTTTCCAAAGGAGTGCACGGGCTGCAGGCTGACTTCACTCACAAGCAAGGGAATCCTAGAGCTGAAACTTTGTTCCAGCTTGGCTTCATTTGGAGTGTGTGCCTGAGGTTTGGGGCAGGTGGGGAGCATGCAGTGAGAAAGACGGGAGACTTCTCAGGGACAAAGAGAGGTGACAATGTCCTTCTAAACCTTCACCCAGGGTCATTTCCATGGGAAGTCTCTGTCACCCATGCACCTATGCTCTGTAAGTTCAGGCAGCCTTTCTCACCTGTAACCTCCCTTCTGGAACCTTCTTCTTGTCCCATCTTCCTGAGAAACACACAAATCTGAAGTCAGCTACAACAAAGGTCATCAGAGCATTCCTTTTTTATTTTGGAACTCAAAAAGGTTTACTGGGACCTGGGAGTTGGTTCAGTGGGCAAAGTGTTTGCTGTGTGAGCAAGAGAATCCAAGTTCAGATTCTGGGGAGATGGTTCCTGAGGGCTGCTGGTTAGGCAGGCCAGATGTATGTCTGTACTCTAGGTCCAGTGAGAGACTCTGTCTTAAACTCTAAGGTGGAGCATGGTAGAAGGAAACACACATGCCCATCTCTGACTGCCAGACATGTAGGTGTGCATGTATACACACACACA